ACTGCGGGTATGATAAAAGAGTCAGGATGAATTTTGTTTTTCTTTTCTTGGTTCTGCTTCGTTGTGTCTGGCTCTCTTGGTTTGTTTAGTGAATGGATACCATTTAACGAACTGCTTAGGGTGGGCTGAGGTTTAACCTTTATGCTATGTTTGATGAAAAAACAGATATAAAAACGTTGAGAGAAAGTTCTTATTGGTTCAGTTTGGAAGGAGTATATACTATAAATACAAATATGTAGAGTGCAAAACCTTGGTGTCTTTCCGTTTGGTTAAGGCACGTCTTTTCGCATGTCTTTCCGTGCGAAGACGCAATGAAAAAAGTCGAAAAACTCCATTTGGAGCTTCTTGAAAATAGCCCAAAATAGGCTTTGTATGTCTTTTCAGAGAGGCATCTTTTGACAGTTAGATCTTTCTCCAACCAAACGGGAAAAGACCAAAACGTAGGCTATCGGACTTCTAAACAACTGACAGCTCGCACAGAAAGATGCATCAAAGAGACCCTTGTATTTTGCATTATTTTGTATGTATTTGTATCGTATATATTTATATTTGTATTCTTTCCAAACTAGCCTAAGGCTCTGTTTATTTACAGTGCAAATATGACTCGAATACAAATTTTGTACGTAGTTCAGTTTTACATCTGTTTATTTGTAATAATGATTTGTACTCTCATCTGATGCTAAATTTGTACTGTTTGTTTTATTTGCACTCAATGACAGTAAAACTTTTGCATCTTAGAAACTAGTGCAAAATTTGCAGCCACCTTCCTCTCTCATGTAAATCGAGGACCACAACATCTTGCTTCCTAGTTTCTACCTCACTCAAAAACAAATAACCCTCCTATCTCTATTCTCCCTCATTTTGTGTAGCTATACTGCTAATTAGATTGAACTTCAACACAAAGCAGGGCCCCCATAAAAAAGGACATGGGCTTCCAGGTCTTTTATTAGTGCTTTTGGAAATAGGTTTTCTGTTTGATTAGTGGATAGAATTCTTTTGCACATCATATTCACTTTTATACAATGAGATGATGACAAATGGTGATAAATAATATCCATAGACAATTTTTTTTTTCTGTATAAAAGAGGAGTAAGTACACCTATTAGGTAATATATTCTACTCTTTTCTTATTGTTTCATCTATTCATTTATTTATTGATTGGATGTGGAGGTGGTAGATTACAAGTATTGGATATTGGTTTTGAGAGAAGTGGTTATGCTGATAATAATTTAGTTTAGTAAAAAGAGAAGAGGGGGGAGTAGCGACATTATGGAGCTTTGATTGCCACTAAGGCTGAATTTGATTTGATAAGAAATAAGAGAAACAGAAATTTGAGGGAAAGATCTTAGGCTTAGTTCTGGAAGAGTATACATACAAATATATGCAGTGTAAATTCTTGTATATTGTATTTTTAAACCTTATATTTTGCACTGTGTATTTATACTCTTCTCAAAGTAAGCCTATTGTGCTTGGTTGTAGTGTAAATTTATCTGTACCAGTACAAATATATTTGAGTGCAAATGAAGAAAATGCAAATTCTGATTTAATTTTGTTTTGGGTTTTACCTTATTCCACTTCAGGTCTTATTTTACTTCATTTGTAATGCAATAAAACAAAATAGGGTAGAATTTGAAACAAAAATAAGTCAAAATTTGCACTTCCATAATTTTACATTAGTATAAATAAATTTGCACTGCAACCAAACACAGCCTAAAAAGTTTTGTCGGAATTCTTTCTTTTAACTTTCTTATTTTCTCTTATTTTTCTATCAGATAAACCATAGCTTAAATGTGTTGCCTTGGATTTTTTGTCCTTTGGTTTTGAGTCTGGATCCACTAGTCTACTACTAACATTTGCTACTGAGACAACTGGTGTGTGCCCGCCTACCCTGAACATGTGCATGGGATTGCACTTGTGCAAAAATCCCTCTGTGTAATGCATCTTCTTTACTACAGGTGGCACATAGTGGTTGTATTAGTAGCCAGTGTTAATAGCAGGTCTAAAATCCAATTAAAGAAAGTGGTACACAGATCTGAAGTAGTGCAGCCATCCCTAAGAATCTTTAAATGAGATGGTCTCAAATGATTTATGGTACGTTTGATTTACAGTCAGAATTTGAATTGGAATCGGAATTGAAATTTTTTGGAATTGGAATTAGAATGGTATATTCTAATAGTCTGTTTGGTTCAGACAGAAATGAGAATGGAATTGTAATAAGAAAGAATGAGATTTGATTCCCAAGAAAGGGACAGAGAATGATCATTCCCTCGTATGGGGATGTCATTCCAACAGGAATGGAAATAAAATTTTGATTCCATTCAATCAAAGAATTGGAATCGAAATAACCCATTCCAATTCTGATTCTAGACCCTTATTCCCACGAAACAAACGAGGCCTTAATCTCCCCTTTCTTCCTATGGAGTCTGTATCCCCATCTTTGAGTTCTCTGCCTCTATTGTTCCATGAAATCAGACATTTGATTGACTTCTTGAAAGATGTAAAATGTTTTAGTTTCTAATTCAGCCAAAGATAAGATCTTAAAAGAGTATCCAAGAATGTTTCACTTAAAATCCCTTTCAAGTCAATTCATTCTCTCCAGCCTTATCTCTTGTTACAATTGTTGATTCTCTAATTTGCTTTTGTATTTGCATTTGTATGAAGTATGAACTATTGCTTTTTTGGGTGTTATGTAAGTAGTAGAGATTTTCTTGGGTGAGTGAATACGGAGAAATTTATACCGTCCATTGGTGGAAGGGACCTTGTTGGCCATGCATGCATGCTTCCACATTAGGGGTGTCAATGGGCCACGGCTTTGGGTGGGACACTGTCCAAATCAGAATGACAGATTGGATGGACCAATAAGACTTAAGACATATTGAATTGGACCAGTCCAGATTTAATGGTTCAAAGTATTTAATGGATCTAGTCCATCCATTATTGGATTGAGTCAGATTGGACCAATATCCAATCTGTTGATAAAAGATAAGAGTACAGGTGTCAATGGACCACCTTTGGATTAGAACAAATCTAAATTGAAACCAATTTGAATAGATTGGATGGTCTAGACACTGAATGGTATCCATCCAAAATGGTTCAAAGTACTCATTGGATTCGACCTAGTCCACTTGTAATGGATTCATATTGGACCAAATCTGGTCCAATTGACACTCCTCTCATAGCTTTGCTATAACCTAAAGGTCATGACTCAATGTTGGTCCTAGCTACTGGATCATGATCTAATCCGAATTCAAATCTTATCAGATATTTGGTAAAATGAATGGAATTGAATTTGAATCAAGGAAAAATAGAGAATCCAATGGATTCGAATTCATATGAAATTTCAATTTAAAAAGTCCTATACAATGTTTTTTTTTTTTTTCTCTCTTGACACACTGGAGCTACAAGGAAGTGGGGAATCCACATGGATTCTTCAAAAAAAAAAAGTGTAGATAACCCAGGAGCTTTACCAAATTCTTTTTTTTTTGCACTTTTTTAAGAGAGGGATGGGCGCTTAGATTCTCCTGCCGACAGTCCAAAGCGCAACTGCATCTCAAATTGGCAATTGCAGCCAAGAGTTTGGTTGACTTCATTTTGAGTGGCCCCCATCATGAAGTGGCTTCATCTAATTCAATATGGGGGCCATGGTAACAAATCAAAGGTTTTAATTGAGTTGTCATAGACTCATAGCAAATGTTGGTTGGTGTGAGCCGTGAGGGTTGTCACTAAAACACTCCTACAGGCTGTATTTTAATTTTATTTGGCATAGCAACATTACTAAATCTTCTCAAGGGTGGTGAAAACCGAAACTGGGGCTTGAAACCGCATCTTGTTTCGGATTACTCAGTTTACGTACCAATTAAGTCACTACTTTGATACTATCCGTTTATTTATTTAGTATCATATTTCCATTTTATAACTGAAAATTAGAATGTCCCAAGGGTCCAGGTTTTACCAATTTGCCCCAAATGCTTTAAAAACCGATTCAGAACCAGAATCATTTTGATCATCGATTTCTGGATCAGCATTTTGACAATCCAGTTTAAATGGATGTTCATTTTAATTTAAAAATATAAAAATAATTAAAACAAAAATCATTGTCAGTAGGTTGCTTACTAAATCAATGGTTTTTCAGGGTGAAACAGAATCAATTGTCTGAATGATTTTCGGGCCAAACAGTCCAACCGTGTGAGTGAATGACGTTTCAAAAATCATGGTTTGCCCATTCAACCCATAAAGAAACCCATCAAAACCGTCGTTTAATAAAAATAATATTTTCAATTTTATTATTGAATTGTTGTAGGTATACAATGGAATAGAGGTGGAACGCAGTCTATTTATCCCTTTATTTACTTTTATTTTTCTGATTAAATTAATTCAAACGGAATCAAAATTGTCATTTACCAGTTACCACTTCTGTATAATGGAAGGTCGAATAAGGAAATTCACTGCAAACTATATAAAGGGGTGTTTTAATAAAAGCTGTAAAAAGGATATTTTAATAAATGACCATCAAATTCATAAATTGTATTTATAAACAACTATAAGCAGAATTAGATATTCACCTCTAAAGTTAATACAATCAAATTGATCCAAATCATCCTACTCGTTAAGACTACAATGCTTCTCTCATTTTTGCTGGGTCGTTATGATTTCAAATGCCTTTTCTTTCTTTCTCAGCCATTAAAGAAATTGAAAACCATCACCCATTTTGGTTCAATTCAATAAAAACAAGCAATTTCATGCGTAGGCGTTGAGAGCGGGAAAAGATGGTTAATTTCTTTCTTTCTTTTTTTTCTGTCCTCTTTGTAACCAAGAACTGATATGCAAGTTGCAAGATATGCAGGGAATGAGGGATTAACGGTTTTTCATCTTCTTTGTTTTCATTTTTACCTTCTTAGCTTCAAACACTTGTCACATTCGTTAATGAATAACACATTAATGAATAACACATTAATGAATAACACATTAATGAATAACCTCTGACCCACTTAGCGCGCCAAAAGAATAAGAAGGGAGAATGACCGATAAATCATGCTCCAAAAGACTTACACGATTTTTGGGTGTTTCCTTCGATGAATAGAAGAAGTTTTTCCACCAATTGATTGGTGTCAGATGAGACATGGCAATATAAGATGGGTATGATTGTTTAGTAGATTCCAGTTTGACGTCAAGGAAGTCCCTGAAGTGCGGAATCCTCATTGCATTTGCCCCGTTTTCTTTTTCCTTGTTCAAGCTTTCACTTCGACTTCTCTAATAAAGAACAACCTGTAATCACATTAATTTTTGCTACAGATTCCTCTGCTTGTATTATTAAACAGGTCGATCCAGATGAAGGGAATTGCGTTCAATTGAGAGAATTACAGTCTACGGTGTCGTCTCAGATCTCTCTCGTTTTCTAATTGATATGGAATGCTGAATACAGTTTTAGAGGGACCCATTTCGTATTTTCCGTCGCTGGGTGATAATTTCCGTTCCTTTTATTGTGAAATTGGTTCTTGACGAGACCCATTTCGGATTTTGATGTTAGATCTCTGAGGTTGTGTGGGTTTTTAATTCTGAAATCGGGACGATTGTTTGATCTCTGGAAAAGGATTTTAGAGTCTTACTCATGATGTACTGCATGGGGTTGTCGAATTTTATATTAGATCTTGGCCTGGTTTTCCCCTGATATGGATTGCAGAGCGGATCTGGGAGTACTCTTCTTCAGAATATGTTATTTTTTGTGGGAACTGTGTATGTTTGCGGGGACTTGATTGATGTAAGACTGTAGAAGGAATTCGCGCGCTTTTGTTTCCGATCTTATCTGGAGGTGATCTTGGTAAAACTGTTAAGACAAAAAGCATGTTTTGGAAGGAACGTGAAAGAGAGAACAAAGAATCCAATGGCTCTCCTCCTCCTCCTTGTGGGCAGGTTCGGGTACTTGTTGTTGGAGACTCAGGTATGCTGTTATTTTCCCTTTCCTTTTATGGATGTTGAGTTTAACCTTGGAGGCTTACTGTGCGTTAGAATGTTTGATGTTAGTTTTCTACGGTGAAACTTGATCTGTGTATGACTATGGGATCTAGAACATGCTTATTTTTGTTAATCCAAGTTGATTCAACCTAGTTGGGTTTTCTATTAGAGCGAATCAAGTTGTGAGTTGGTCAGGATGCTCATTGGAACCAGTTGAGTTCTGCTTTACAAAGCCGGTGCAACTTTGATTCTTGAAAATTCCACTTAGATTGTGCATTATCGGGGGTAGTAGAGTATGCAGTCTGATGGCATTAACATAAAGCACGGCCATAAATATGAAATTACATTTTCAAGAAGACTTGAACGTGGGTCTTGGAATGTCAATCGATTACCAGTGGTTCTTGCATGAAGTACTATGGTAAATTGGTAATTGACTTGAACGTGGATCTTGGAATGTCAATCGATTACCAGTGGTTCTTGCATGAAGTAATATGGTAAATTGGTAATTGACATATACGAGTACTTGAGGAAGTAGAGAAAGGTTGTGAGGGGTTTTGATTGGTTTGAAATTCCATTACAACTTACTTTTATATTTAAAAAACTTGAAATTTTTTTTTTTTGAGAGAGAAAGGTAATGTATTATAAAAGGCAAAAACAAGATATACAAAGCCCTGCTCAAAAAGAAATTGAAACAGGGGAAGGAGACTGAAAAGCTGATTACACTGCTGATCTAGAAAAAAACTTGAAAAGTGAGCAAGAGTTTCGATGAATTTTATAGATTCCACCTGAAAATTTTTTCATTTACAATAGTTTAACACAATTCACAAAAACTCTACAAGACTTTTGAGGAACTTATCAATTTTTTCTTAAACTTTAAAAATTCCAAACCTCTTGACTTCTAACATGAACATCCTACTGACAATGTAACAAGAAAACTCTATTTACTGAAAACCGGGCATATCAAACAATATCTCATGTTCGTGTACTTATTGTTTAGGGAAAACTTGGTCTGGCTTAGTCTTATCACTTGAATGCTCAAGTTCTATTCTTTGTACATGCTTTTTATATTGAACGTTTAGCTTAAATAAATGATTTGCACTGGATTTTTCTGGGGTATTTCCTTTTATGTAAAAATTATATGAGCTTATGGATGTTTCTAGTTTTTGAATTCATCTCAAGAGTCAAGACCTTGTATGTGTGCCAGACACTACCAGGAAATGAAGAAACCCTTGTAGCTTTTATAGGCATAATATGCATATAGTAGGTTGTGATCCACTGCACAATTTCTCCTAGCCTGGAATCTCTTAGGATAAAACAATACTGATTGTATGATTTTACATGCAGATTTTTTTTTGCCATTTTCTTTTGGATTTTCACCATTTCATTTTTTATCATAAAGTTAATGATTGTTGGATTTATTTTTGGTGTAAGTGATGTCTTAATTGTGGACAATCAAAGGTTAGTCTCTACAACTGTATGTGCTTAGACTTGAAGTGTATAATAAATGCACCAAACATGGACTTGTTTGTCCTTTCCGTCTTGATTCATGTTGTCTAGTTCTCCTCATAATTCTAACAAGAATAATTGGTTTCCTTTTATCTTTCTTGTTTCAATTTATTTCTCAGCTACAGTGTAAAACAATTCTTAGCTTTATTGTCAGATATTAAACTTCAAATTCAACCATCTGCTGGTAGGTGTTGGAAAAACTTCACTTGTTCATCTGATTGTTAAAGGTTCTTCCATTGCTCGCCCTCCTCAAACAATTGGATGTACAGTTAGTGTAAAGGTGAGGATTTACTTTCTTTCACTTTGTTAAGGCAATTTGGAGCTATACCTGAAACCTAGAAATCATGATTATTTTTTCCTGATTCTCTGTCCAGCACATCACTTATGGAATTTCAGGTAGTTCATCTAATAGCATTAAAGGTGATACAGAGAGAGATTTCTTTGTTGAACTTTGGGATGTATCAGGGCATGAGCGGTACAAGGACTGCCGGTCTCTTTTCTATGCACAAATTAATGGTGAGTCAACAGATTGCTTTTTTCTTCCCTTGATGTGCCATATGTCCTAATTGAATCTTCACAAGTAATTAGATGTTGCAAGATAAAGGTTAAAGTTTTCTTCTTATATACACAACTCTTACATAAAAGTTGGGTGGAGTAATGCATAGGCATTTTATAAACAAAGGATGGCGCTTCATTGATCTTTTACTATTTGTGTCAAACCATATGATCAAGTCCACAAACTTTGGTGCAACATTCAATGAATATATCTAGCTGAAAAGAAGAATTTTCTATTACTATGTCAGAATACCTGTACATATTTAGCATATCGAAAGTTTAAAACTTATCAATCTTTATAAATTTGCATATGTATGTTTTATAAAACCTGGCAAATATAAGTACAATCAGATTCAAGAAGTATAAATGAGCATGGTATAAGCATATTAAATGGGGTACCTGCACCTGTATTTGTGTCCATAATTTGAGGAAATGGAGTCCTATGTCAATATCAGTGTATGCATCTGAGCATCATAGTATTTAACACATTTGGTGGGTGGAGTGGAGCTAGAATACTTAATAGGTCAATCTTGTACATATCATTCCTGAAACTAACCAAATTGAATGACTGGTACATTGCTTTAGATGGCCAAAAGATAAGTATGAACTGTATGGATTGTTATGGGCATTTGATTTTCAAGATGTTGTTTTCGAATGTGATGGATCTAAAACTCCCCACATGTATCACTTTAACACAGGCAAGAGGATGTATTTTTCCTGTTATCAAGTTCTAATGTGAGCATGCCTTTATTTAGTTAATCTGTTTTCAAGTTCTAACATAAGCAATCTGTCATTTTTTTAGTGCCTGTTGCAATTTGGACCTCTGCATTGTTCAGTGTAGTAAAATTATTAAATTGCAGTTTTCTTTTGGTTGTGATTCACTTTAGGTGTTATTTTTGTTCATAATCTCTCCCAAAAAAGGACAAAAACAAGCTTGCAGAAGTGGGCAGCTGAGGTTGCAGCCACTGGAACGTTCTCGACTCCTCTTGGATCTGGTGGCCCTGGTGGTCTTCCTGTCCCATATATAGTTGTTGGTAACAAAGCAGATATTGTATCAAAGGAGGGCCAAAGAGGGAGTGGTAGTAATCTTGTTGATGCTGCTCGCTTGTGGGTTGAAAAGCAGGGCTTGCTTCCATCCAGTGAGGAACTTCCACTGATAGAGAGCTTTCCAGGCAGTGGAGGCCTTATTGCAGTGAGAACTCTTAATTTTAACCTTTAATTTTCTCTAATGTTATTCTATGAAAGTTATATCGTGTGATGAAGTTAACTGTTGTAGATACAAATGTGTTATTTCATCCTGTAAATTACTGAATGCATTTTTCTTATTGATTATTTTATATCTAGATATCCAAGATGCAGAGATGACTAGGAACCATTTGTATATATTTTGTAAAGTTTCAGTTATCCATTTAATAAAAAATAATTAACTACCATGCAGATTCGACTTGGGATGAATGTTATCTTTTCATGGTATGTTATGAAAATATAGTTCATATCTGCTTACCAATCAAAGAAGATACAGTTTTTGCTATTTCCAGCAAGCTAAGAGTGTAAAATTTGATTGATCTTGATTCAGAAAGAAAATCTTGGCTAATGACTAATTTGAGGCTTCAGTTTGATCTTCTGCTTCTTATTGGCATTTTCAGGATAAAAGAGAAGGTTTTATTTTAAGAGATGGGGTCCATGTTGAACATTTATAGAATCTACAGAATTAAGTTACTGTTGCTACTATTATTCAGGTTTTTAGCTTAGTTGTTTGGGATTCTAATTCCTTGCATTGTTCTAGACTTCTGAAATGGAATACTAGCTTTGGCATGGGCAGCTACTTATGATAGGAACGGAGGTCCTTTTTCTGTTAGTGTTTTGGAATCTTTTTTGTCAAGTGTGGGTTACCTGCTGCCATTAGTCAATTATACTTTTCTAATTTAGTAACCCTATAGTTAAGTGAATGATATAGTCATAGAAATCTTCTTGGTTATTTAGGCCTTCAGATCATGACATCAACTCGTGTGCTTTACTCTAAAATATATGGTGTTCTAATGAATTACTGTACGAAATCATTTGAATTGATCCCTAGATATGCAGATTTCTTGACTCTCTGAGGAAAGGAACTAATAGGTATTATCTATATTGGGGAGATGACTTGAAGGGTAGACAACTGCAATATTGCAACTGCCAAATGGGCTATCATGAACTTACTTTGTTATTGATAAAAAGGAATTGATACAAAGTATTAGTAACAGGAGATCAGGAGATCTTTGCTTTTTATTAGAAATGATGGTAGGAGTCCTTTTGGTGACTACAAATTGTGTGCAATAATAGCTTTTCCTTTCTCCATCTATTCTTGCTAATCAGCATTCTAGACTTTCTAGTAATCAGTTTCTATTAAATGATAAATTTGTTCTTTCAGTTTTATTTGGTAAGAGTTTAGTTCATAGCTAAGTAATTTCTTGATCCTGTTCTTTGGTAGTATGCAATTCATATACAATATGAATTTTCATTTATGTTCAACATCTGCAGGCTGCCAAAGAAGCAAGATATGATAAGGAATCTCTGATGAAATTCTTCCGTATGGTCCGTCTTTTGGCTTTAACCCACCCNCCCCGGCCAAATACACACACAACCACAAGTTCAAGTTCACACATACACAAACAACAAAAGAAAAATAAAGTAACTTTCTTTGTGCATTTTTCATTGCTGTTGCTGTCTGACATTACTAGATCCATTTTTCCAGTTGATCAGGAGGAGATATTTTTCAGATGAGTTACCTGCAGCAAATCCATGGTCTATAACACTAGCACAGAAACCCTTCCATCGTTCAGGCGAAAACTTGAGTGATAATGATCACTTCCAGAATAATACAAGGTTTATACTATTGCTCAACAACCATATTTCAAATGTTTTTACCCAAGAGGCTGTTTTTTTTCTCTTTATTATCAGGGGCAGACTTTATTTGTGGGGTGGATGGGGGTAAGGGGCATGGGCACCTAAAAATTTGGAAACACTATATATATATATATATATATATATATCAAGGTTCAAAATATCAATATGCCCGATATGCCAGTATGGGCGTATCGGGTGAATCGATACTCATTTTGGTGGTTTTTTTTTTTTTCGCCAACTGGTTCAAGGGAGCCGGTTTAGGTCTTTGCCACACCCTGAACCAGTCAGACCACCGATACACCCACTGTAGGGGTGTATCGGTGGGGTGCCGGAATGATATGTATTGGCTGATACGTGTCGATACTTTGAACCTTGATATATATATATATATATATATATATACATATATATAAGTTGGGGTGAGAATAGGGGAGGGGGCACCCTAATAGAGAGCTCCTCCACCTTAAAAAATGATGCAACAGTGGTCTCCCAAAAGAGGAATTGTGGCTCCTCCCTTGATTTATGTACTACTCTTAAATGGCATGGATGTTGATTTTATGGTTCTAGACCTTTTCCTTATCATGTATTTATCCATATTTGCAAATCACTAGGGCTCAGATAAAAAAGAAGTTTGGAACCATGGGTTTCATCTGGAAATTATCAGTAGTATTGGAATTTTGCTGTTTTATGCTCTCTTTGTTTGCATAAATCACGTTTTGGACCTTCTTGAGTCAGCTGACTTTATGAAAAAGTACGACATTAAACAAATTTTACTCATCCTAATTATGTCCTTGATTTTTTTCTTCCATGTATGCCATTGAGTGTTTTATTTGTACTTAAGGGATATGCATATGCTTTCATCCATTGCTATTTTACAAGGTTGTTTGATTAGAAAATGTGTAGTATGTGTGTGCACGAGCGCACATGCATGTAATTGTCTGCTGCTCTTGTAAAGTTGTAATATCTCTATTTTCCACTAAACTTACCAGATTTTCTCATTAATTGCAGTTTAATTGGTGACCCTTATAAATACAGTGTAGTACCTCCCCTTCCAGCTCAGCGAACTCTCGCTCCACCTCCCACACTTTATCCTCAGCAGCCAGTATCTGTATCAGACAATTACAGCCTCCCAAGATTTGTTCTGAATGGATCCCCAGAGATTGGCAACACCAGATCAAAGCGAACAGATATTAATGTCTGATTTCTCAGTCTTGCCTATATTGTCTTGGAGAAAGCCCGAGTTCAACCAACTTTCCCTACACTGATTGGGGTTGAAAAGAGGGGAATATATGTGTAATTTTGATTATTTTTTATTCATTTGTAAGTTGTCCATTTGGTTAATATCTGTAATTTAAAAGTTGCATTAAGATTTGGTTGGATGTATAATGATTGATTACTATAACTGAAAGTAAAGGCCATTTTCTCAACAATCAACTCCTGTTTTGCTTTTCTTCTTCAATGTGGAAGTAAAATAGTGCTGCAGCAGCATTACAGAAAAAAGAAGACAGTATCTGCCTAACAGAGTTCCCGAGTATTGCTTTAAGGGTGCCTTGAAATACAGCATAGAGGAAAGCCAAAAATATGCACATAAACAATTTCAATAGGTGAACTTTTGGCCCCTTGTGGGAGGATTTTGGGCTCTGTAGATTAACTTTCGGTCTCTCTCTTCCTGTTCTTTGAAGACAGATTATATTCCTACAGTAACAGCACAAAATTGATGTCTATACTCAACCCCCCCCCCCCGGCAAACTTCTGGACTTCAGCATTACCCTAATGGGGTTGATGGTGAAGGTAAAATTATCAAATTGCCCTTGAGATTTGATGGGCTGAGAGAAAAAAACTATCAAATGACAAGAATGGGCATGCTAATGCACAATATTTTCTTTTTTGTTTTTTTGGATTGAGCTATCGTGGTTCCAAACCCTTGCTAAAGAAGAAACCCATTTTTGTCATTTTGATAGCTTCTTTTTCTCTCAGCCCATCAAATCTTGAATTGGCAATTTTGTAATTTTACCTTCACCGTCTATTTCATGATAGAATAGGGGTAAAGTGCTGAGACACAGAAGTTCAAAGGGTCTTTGTTGCAAAACAAAATTCAGGGGGCTAAGTGTCACCATCCCCTACAGAGTAGCAGTCTGTAATGTATCATCATCTATTGTGAACTAAGGGACTGTTTTGTATCGATGGCATTTAACTGATAAACGTTTTATACGAAGTTTCTATGAAAAATGAGAAAAAAATCGTCTTTGAACATTGTCTTACAACTCAGCACCACTAGGCACTCCATGCGCCAAACAATATAAAATTGTCCATAAATATGATATGCATCATTTTTGGCATTTTCTGATAAACATCTCTCATCTCAAAAGAAACATTAATCAGTTAAACAGCTCAACCAAACAATAAATGGGGCATTTTTCTGTTAAACACCTATTTGGCGCTGAACTCACATTGTTGCTCCAGAAAACCATCTACATGTAAATGTACAAGGTGCCAACTGTAGCTTAAGAGTGTCAAACTGTCAATTGTGGGCACAACTGTTCAGCAATCTAATTTGAACTTTGAAACAGATATTTATAAGAAAAATAAAAACATATTTTGAAGTAGATTGCATTTCAAGGAGGAAGTGAGGCCATTGTTGTTATGAACAGGGAAAAAGTAGAAGCACTTTCTATGGTATTTCTTATGCATTCATTTCAGTACAATGAGCGCTCTTCTTCTCATAGACAAATCTTACTGGTTGGTGCAACTATATCCTTTGTTTGTTCTGGGGATAGGCATAGTAATTCGACATTTTTCTGGGGAATCTGTGAAGCTTTCAAGGAAGGTTTAATGTTTGCTAAGGAGCTTTTTTGATGGTATCAGCCAATTGTGTTAGGAAGGTGATTCTCAGATAATTACAGATCTTCTGGAGGTAAACACTGAACCTCCATGGCGGATTCATCATGCTATTAACTCCTATTGATTTTATAATAATCATGTCAATAGGTGGGACCCTCCCCCATAGACACCATATGCACTCTGGTAAAGCTGTTTGTTCCTTCTGTGTACTTCAAGAAGAGGTAGACAAGTTGTCAGAATCGAAAGTTCGTAATACCAAAGCTGGGACTCGGAAGTTCGTAATACCAAAGCAAGATGTCAGAATTGCAGATGTCTTCCAAGCAATTGAGAATGCAAAGTTCTCCATACATGCTTGGGGTTTTACCAACACCACATTGGAGGATGTCTTCATTAAAGTTGCAAAATAAGTACAATCATCTAATATGCTACCACAACCAGTAAGACCTATTACTGAGTGATTGATTCACATACAAACAAAGACAAAAATATTGCTGATAGCTACTAATTGTAGTTTGTTATCTTTTTGCTTTCTTGAAAAGATAGCTTTCAGTACTAAGATTGGAAATAGGAACCAAAACATGGACTGACCATTAGAAAGATTTCAGTATCAAGCATCTCTGTTTGTCCCACCTGTGTGGTGTGTATAATTTTCCTATATCCCCAAATTGCTCCTAACCCCAATAAACATGGCATACTTCTATTAATTAATTGAACAATTGAAAATATGTATATAAGAAGAAAAGCTCTTTAATATCTGAAAAGTATAGATTACATTTGTTCACCAGCCATACTTTTTCAATACATCCTTGGTTCTCTTCCTCATGCGAGTGAAGACTATAACCACACAAGCAAGGACCCATGGAGGGAAGTTCCCGCCTAAGATATTGAATCTCTTCATCCATTCTGGAGATTCCTTAAAAAGCATAGCTACTAAAATGGTTATAATGGCTATCCCAAGCAAGATCTTTGTTATAGGCTTGACTAAGGAATCCTGCAATCAATAAATGAGTAAGATGAAAGTACAGTTCAGTTTAGTTAAATACAGCAAAAAACTAAATTCAACTTAATCAAAAGATGAGTTGAATATCAGAAAAAGATGCACTTAACTTTGGAAATTGATTTAATAACCTCCCTAGAGACAGAACCTTTTTCACATCAGATTAGTATTTGCGTAACACCCATACCCCTACCTTGTGTTCTCACAAGTCCCATCTTTTGACATCCTTAAAATTTATGGGGGAAAAAAATACCTGACACCTATCCAGCAGTGAATTTCTCATAAAGCGAAAATCCCCTTATTGCATCACAGTCCTTTAACTTTTAGAATAACAGCAATTAGATCATTTGAGTGACCAATACCTCTATCAATGATAACGGGCTGGATTGTTAGAACAGGTTCAAACAACCTTACAAACTCTTCAATGACTCTTCCACCACAAAAAGAGTGTCTTTTATTCCCATAAAAAAGAAAGAGAAAGAAAGATTGGAAGGAAAAAAAAAAGGAAAAGGGAGGGTGACAACTACATAGAAATGTCCTCATTTCACTTTTATCATCATCATCCAGGCTTTATATGGGGTCAGCTACATGAATCCTGTTTCACCATTCAGTTCTGTTATGCCATATCCATTGTTAAATTATGGACTCTTAAATCATTTCTTACTACTTTGACCTATGTCTTTGTTAGTCCACTCCCAGCCCTTCTAGTATCTAGCCCCTTCAACTTGCATGGGGTATTGCATTTATCTTTGGATACTGCATTTTCTTGACAGTGTATATTTGGTGTTATGGATCACAGTGGGTTATATTGATCAAGGTGATTTAGGATGACAAACATCCAATAAAAATACTACCTATTTACCATTTTGGATAGGGGCCATTACTTGGTGTAATAGTAAAATTTCAGCCTGACATGCATGAGAACACAGGTTCAAGTCTGAGGGCAGCCCCTTTGTGAGGAAAAAAAATGCCAAAGTTTAGGAATCATACCCAATTTACTCCTCCCAAGACCCCAGATAGTTGGGACCAACATTAGTGGAAGCCTTTATTTACCAATTGGGATGAGAAGTTTAGAAAGAACAATCAGGATCGCCAGGAGGTTAAATATTGATAAAAAAAATCGCCAGGGGGTTAAAAATTGAACAGGCATGGGAAAGGTAGATGCAGTCAATGTGGGCCCCTCATCCAGCCACTTTGTTGCCTTTAGGCCCCATTTCTGTGAGAATTTGTGTATTAAGGCCCAGAATAAATGCCATTTCTGTTTTCCTCTGGTTTAGTCCTTGGCTTGTAGCACAATTACCTACAGACCAACACGGAAGACTCTTAAGAGAGACCATAATGATTTTTACTTTATCTTTACTTTCTTTACTTGTTGCAAGTTAGAGTTCCCCCTAAGAGGAACCATAATATTCCACATATAATGATACAAATTCCAATTTTTCCAGAGTAATGAAAAATTCAGTTATGAACCTGCAATATTCTTGCTTTCTTGACACCCCCCCCCAAAAGGAAAAAAAAAAGGAAAAGAGTAAAAAAGAAAAGAACAAATGCCTGCTTTTTTATATTGAGAGTTTTCTCAATTATGGTGGGACGATGCCAATCCCAAGGCTGTATAGGGGTAGTGAGATTCTTCCATACTCCACCATTTGTTCTTTGTCATTCTTGTCTTCCATTTTGTTCTTTTTTTGCTCTTTTTGTTCTGCACAATGACACTATTAAATCCATCTATGAATTCCTTCAAGTTTAAAAGAAACTGTATCTGCCTCATGGGTCCAAGCCATGTCAATTAAAGAGAGAGAGAGATTTTGGAATTTGGACAAAGAAAAAAGTGCTCTTAATAAGTGTTCTTTGGCTTTGAGAGAGGAAAGGGAGAATGGGTGTAAAAGGGTTCAAGTTTGATTTGGGCTATAAATCACATGGAATTGTGTATTAGTTTTTTTCATAATTTTCTCAATAAAAAACTATTCTTTTTCATGGTGAAGAGTGGATTTCTCTATCTTGTGGATGTAGGTGAAAGGTTGAACTAGATAAGTCTTTGTTTCTCTTGTATTCTTATTCTCAATTTGTTGGCACTATAGGTAAAAGTATGGTCTTGTAGGAAAATCTAGTACGGTTGTTCTATACAAAGAATGGTCATGACAGATTATGGAAAATAAAAAACGATAAAGAAGTGTCACCCTTGTACCATCTTTGCATAGTCTTTAGAAACTAACTATAGGTGGCAGCTTCATTTCCCCTTTCCATCCATATACTGCAAGGTTATGGTTATGGATACTAATATGTCAATAGGGGTAAAAGAATGAAGGGAAAAAAGAAAGAGACTGTCAATATTACATTTTTTCCCAATTTGGAGAAATTGATAACTGAAGAGCATGAGTAATGAGTTGATGTTTGTGGTGAAACTAAAGGACTTCCTCATATTCTTTCAAATACTTGGGATTCTTTTACCAGTTAAACCCTAAATGTTTCTTTTTTTTTTGAGAAAAGGTAAAGTAATTTTATTAAACCAGATAGAATACAACAGATCCCCCAAGGGAAGCACCTTGGATAGGGATCAGCCAACCCTAAACAACTTTACAGTTGCCAGAAATTCCTAGACCTCAACCGGGCCCCTAGTTGTGAAGCTTGAATCCCCTTTGCAGCCGAAACCCATGAGACCAACTTTCCAGATGAAAAAGAAATAAGCTCCTCCAAATCTTTAGAGGCATTTCGAAATGACCTTTTCTTCCTTTCTGCCCAAATGGTGCTGATCACAGCAGCCGGAATAGACATCCACACGCTACTGGCAAGCTTAGAGAGACCAAGCAATTCCCAGCTCCACAGCATCTCCAAAGCTTGACCATGCATCACACACTCCTGATTCTGGATCTGCATCCCTCTCTTAGACAGATTGACTATGGTTAAACACCTACCCAGAGCTGCTGCCCAAACCAGATCATTGATTTTCAAGGGGGAGATCAGGTTCCAGATTCTAGTTGCAGGCACATCTACTAGGTTCCTATCTGAAAGTTGAAGAGCAAAGGTTTTGACTGAAAACTGTCCATCTACACTCCAATTCCAGCTCCAACTGTCTTCTTTGTTCAGGTCCAGAGACTGAAGAGAGATCAGCTCAAGCAACTATGTAAATTTAACAATTTCCCAGTCCTGAAATTTTCTTCTAAAAGAAGGACACCAAACAACAGAGCTACCAATTAACTCAAAGCAGTCTGCCACAGCTGCATCCTTGTTTTTGGTTAGCTGAAACAACTGTGGCAGTGGGAATAGGTCTGAGAGAGGGCTGTTTCCACACCAAGTGTCTTTCCAAAAGCCAGCCTGTCACCCTTTCCCAATTTAGGACTTAAACTTCTACTGAATCTTGGGAGAATATCCATAAATTTCCTCCATAAGGAGCAGCCTAATGAGGACAGAGATGAAGTGGTTATCCAGTCTCCTCTATCAGTATTATATTTGGATGCAATTAAATCTCTCCACTATCTACCTCTTTCCACTCCAAATCTCCAGATCCACTTCCCTAGAAGAGCATTATTGAAGTTAAACCCTAAATGTTGAGGGCCTTGTGATCCTTTTTCTTCTATTTTCAAAACTTAATACACTAATCATAGTTATAAAAGGTAAAGCAAAAAAAAGTGAAGCAAACGTTATAAATAGTTGTATTTAATGTGATACTTTGAACTTCGAAGGTAAAATTCTAACACAGCTTTATGGGGAGAATTAATTACTACACTAATAAATAAGATGGAATTTTACCATTTAGTTGGAAAAAAAAAGCCAAGATACCATCGAATTGGATAAGAAAAAACCGTCATCCAGATATCAGGTTGCAACTAATTGCCTCATCATAGTATCATACTTTTGTATAAAGTAATTAGATGTCTGGGAAATTTTAAGGAACAATCACTCAGTGAAGATAAATGGATAGGGAGCCCTCGAGGACCTTAATCGATCGTTGCCGCCCTCTAAGTCATTGTACAAACTTCTTGAACTATAAGATGAATTCTTCTTGATTTTTATTTCTAATCAAGCTCCCACTAAAAAAAGAACCTTTTTTTTTGGCAATAGAACGGTAAAGACAGATTAAGAATAGTTGTTCATTTTTATTCGTTTCATTGGTATATAGTAAAGGAAAACGAAAACATAATGAAACGGAAACAGATGACTAAGGGAAAACGAAAACATCACCTTTGGTTCCCCATCAATGAAAATAACGGATCCGTCGGTATAAGGTAGCAACGATCTTCCATTTTTAGCATTGAAACGGATGGGAACGCTTCTTCCAGAAGCAGGGTTGAATGCGAAAATCGATTTCAATCCGTATTTCTCGAGAATATCGTGGACCTCTAACCGGTCTTGATCCCAACCTCCTAAGCTCGATTTGAAGATCTCAATTGGACCTTTGCCTCGTCGAAAGAGGTGGATTTCCACCTCTGGAACTTTTGTCCTGATGGTTTTGGGCATAGGTTTCGGTGGAGATTCATCGCTGCTCTTGCAGCTCTCCTCGATCTCTCCTGCGCTCTCTTTATCCATTCCCTCTCTTTTACAGTTTCTTTGTTGCTGCCAGCAGGGGAACTGAATTTCTCTCCGGTATCAGTAATAAAGCTATTGAGCCCTGTTTGAGAACGCTTAACCACCCAGATCTGACACTGTGAGGACTGAGGAATAATTACTTATTCGTATTCTTTAACTCCACCGTACAAAGGACGAATCCTAACCGTCAATTGATGCCAAATCCACAAGTAGGATGCGGCTTATAGGGAGTTGTAATTCAGAATTGTGCATTGAGACGCAGTGTACTTATCCCTTAAGCCAGGCTATTAAAAGTTCGATTGCTCTACGCTTCTAATTGTATACTTTTTTTTCAAGGACAATCACGATACACTTCTGCAACTACAGTTCTACTCGTATACTTCAGAGTATATATATTTTGCTATTATTTGGATTTGGTTTTATCTTTCTGATAAAAATAATGGTTTTTAAAATCGGACCGAACGGTTGGGCTGGAAAAACTGAGAATCGGTCAGATGACTGATTTCATTTTACCTCAGAATTGTTATTTCCCCCAAAATCATTAATTTGGTCAGCCGATTCAGGCGTTCAAATCGTTCAACGGTTTAGTCGATTTTTATTTTTAATTTTTTTGTCAGAACGGGCTGTTCATTCAGTTTAAATGGTCAGACCGTTCAATCCGAGAACTAGACCCCTGACCGGTTAGGTTTTAAAAACCTTGATAAAAAACTGTGAAATCAAAACCTTCAATGTAATATTGTGGTCTCACCCTGAATTAGATGAAGTTAGGGTTGCAATTCAATCAAATAGAGATCTTGATTAGATTCGACTAAAATATTCTCATGCTCGAATCTACCAAAAAAATTCGGATTTGATTCAAATTTTATTTTCCGCTTAGAGTTTGAATGAGAATAACTAATTGAACTTACTTCAAGATTTGAATTCAAGCTCAACTGTTGTATCAAAGTTTGATTCAATTGCAACCCTAGATGAAATGATTTATGGTGGGGCTATAACAATACATCTAAGGCCATGGTTTATTGTTCTAGCTCTACACTAGAACCAGCAAAAGTGAACTCTTTCTTATAATGAAGAGTCATGACGAGAAAGAAAAGGGCACAAATCAAGTCACGATCAGCTATCCACAAGATGCCACCCATGCATACCTTACTCACAAGACACCACAGCCGCATTGTAGGAATATCTTCCTATTTGCAGATATAGTGTCTTGTGGGTAGAAGATCCGAACTCCGGTTGATTGTTCAGACGTTTTTTCCGATATCATATCTTTTCTATATCATAGATTTGCCCGTACTTTGAATCATGGTTTATGGTTGTATCTCAGTTATCAAAAGTATTCATAGTTTGAACCAAGGTTCAAAGTACACAGGCCAATATGCCGGTATGGCGTATCGGTCTGTATCAATACTTTTTTAGGTTTATTTATTTATTTTTTTGAAATCAATTTAAAAGAGTCGATTTAAGACCCGATTACCCTCTGAACCATGATCTAACCCAATACAACCCCTCGTAAAGAAAAATGATAGGAAAAGGGCTGAATCCCAGTTAGAGGCATCTCAATAAACTGCTGATTCCAATATTCTTCTTATTTGTCTCCAATTTCTTCAGAGTTGTATCTCAGGTTTTCATCCATTTTGATTTTCCAAATTTTTTGGCATGTTCCTGTATCATACAAATTGAATATGACATTATTTTCTACAAGGATATTCTTAATATGGACTATGCCATTGAGGAATATATTTATGCATTTGTTGATTTTCTATTGTTTGAATGACTAATTTCTTTTTCCCTATAAAGATGATAGTATTTATTTATAAACTAAGATGCTAAGATCATTACATCACTTTTAGTTTTAGATGAAACTTTATTAGATCATGAACCTGCAATCTAAATATATTGCATGTTTGTCGGATTTTGTAGTAAGTTTATATGTGAAGTCAAGTCACAATCAATTATTTTTTTCTTAATTTCCTCATTTACTTTTTCAAGTAGTTATAATGGGCTTCTTTGGTGGGGGGTTTGGGATGGGGTGAAATTGCATATTAGTTTCTAAACATTTAACGGCTGTGTGTAGACTTGGCAATTGGGTTGGGTGGGTCAGGTTCGGGTTGGGTCAAGACACTTTGGGTTGAATTTCGGGTTGGGTTATCAAATGCTAGACCCCAATCTTAAATGTTTGGCTTAGGGTTGACCCATGGGTCAATTTGGGTCATCCCAAAAAATAACTGAAATTTAAAAAAAATAAAGAAAAATTAAATGAAAAATGTCAAAATTAAAAGAATTAACCTTAAAATTCTAAATATAAAAAAAAAACTTGAACATTTAACAATTTAAAGAGTAAATAATAAAGAGTAAAGACTAAATAAAAATGTTAAATAACTGATGACGTAAGGATAAATTTGGAAAATATTAAAAAATACAGAACCAAAGAAATACATGTATATCTTAATTCTTGGGGAGATCAATACTGTTTTTATCTATTTTTATAAATGTTAATAATAATTTTTTTTTTAAGTTTCAAATAAATTTGCAATAAGAAGAGAACATAACTAAATGTTGAACTTTAAAATAGATACAATTATAATTTATAACAGCCGAGCAAGTTTGGCCTTCGGGTAGATGTGTTATCTTGCAATCTATTGAAATAGGTTTAAGTCTCATTTGCAGCCTTTTTCTTAAATTTATACATCAGGCAATACTGTGGATATTGGTGGAACAATGCTGCGTTTCAGCCATTCCACCTATATTATGTATATCTGTAACACTAATAGCCCATTTGGTTCATGGGAATAGGGATCTAGAATCCGATCATTCCAATTCAAATTATTTGATTAGGCGGAATCTGAATCCAATTCCCATTCTTGCCAGAATAGCATTCCTCCATTTAAGGGAATGGACAATTGGACATTCCCTCCCCCTCCCCTTGGGAATGAAATATCATTCCTGCTTATTCTAATTCCAATTCTGGTTCCTGTTTGAACCAAACATATTTCCGATTCACAAGGGATTCCAATTCTGATTCCAACTGTGAACCAAAAAGGCCCTAAAAGCTGATATATACGTATCAGGTACTTCAAAACCATGAGCAATTGAGGATATCATATAAATTAAGGACATAGGATTTTTTAGTTGGAAAGCACTTTTCTAATTTTCTGTTATCATCTGGTAATGCAATGTCTGGATGTCCCCATTTGCACAATGAACTTGCTCCTTCATAGCTGTTAAAAAAGTAAACACAAAATAGGATGATTTCAACAGGGAAAATATTTAAGTTAAATATTGTGTAGTGCTTTTTTGTGAAGTCACACTTTCATTTGTTTATTTAAATTAATGTTTCATTTTCATTTAGCTAAAATAATTCAAAGGTTGCACTAAGTTGTCATGAGAAATGACAGAGACCGCTAGGAGAATTACAGAAAGTTAGATTATGTGTCAATAATTAACAGATCGATGTCTCTCTTTGCATGGATTCAGAAACTTGCATAAGAAAGAAAGATCCAGCGAATTGAAATTTTGAAACAAAAAAAAAAAAAAGAAACACTTCTCTTTTGTTGATGGTATATTTTTGCTTGCAAAATAAGGGGGACTAAAATTAGAGCCTACCTTCACCATGAATGAATATGCTATTCAACTCTCTTGCTCAAAAGAATGGTATTAATACAAAATTTGCACTTGATTTACCATCTTAGGTTGTGGAAATTCTCTGACCTTGTGATGCCTCATGAACCACATTAAGGAAGACATCTTCTAGAGAGACATCAGAAAAACCAAATGCATGAAGAGCAACCTCTCTCTTAAGGTTTTGAATGGCTTGAAATACTTGGGAAATCCTAACATCTTGCTTAGGCAGCCGAAACTTCTGTGTTCCACCTATGTTGTAAATCTTAATTGCATTTGGAGAAAGGCTGTTGACCATGGAATCTACATTCTTCTCATAAATGGGATCCACAGATATTGTAAGCACATAAGAGCCACCATATCTTGACTTAAGCTGCAAGATAAGAATCAATTTGAGAAAACATTAAGTTGTAAGGAACCAAGAAATTTAGAGGGCCCCCAAACTATGTAGAACCTTTTCAAATTAAATCGCCACATATATCTTCATATCTGCACACAATGTTTCATAGAAAAATTCCATTCTGAATCTATTTTCTTGGTTCTCAAATTTAATTGGTTCAAAGAGAAACTGGTAAATTGTTGAACCTGACCTAGAAACCTTTTTAAGTTATATTGCATATTTTAGATAGCTTCAGAAAAAAAAAAAAAAAAAAACTTGCCTAAAGCGGCAATTCACTTTCTTCAACCATTCTTTTAGTGCTCAGCCTATGTGGCTTCCATTACTTGCCTTACATCACCAAATCTTTTAAATCTAGATCCATCTGAAGACCTTATACCTCAAAGCTCCTAGGTCAAAAACTGAAAGGAATATGTCATGGATCACAAGGGATGAATTAATCAAATGGCACTTCTAGACACTTAACGCATGTTGTGCTTACACACATGATAATATGATATAGGCCTTTTTCTAAAGAATATTATATTAATAGTAATACGAGATAAAGATATCCCATTTACAAAAGTCAGACAAGCTGGTTAATGAGAACTACAGCAACTGCAGAATAAGCTATGTAAAGAATATACAATCAAGAACTATAAAGAAAAAGACAACAGATTCCAACAAGAATAAAAGGACAATAAGAACCATGATGAAATTACCAGGGGGTGTTCAACAATATGGTTGGTACTGTTGACTGTTGTTGCAATGTTTCAATTATACTTTTATCAATATAATATAATATTAAATTTCACAAATGTAAAAAATATTTGAGAAAATAACATTACAGCCATTAAAACCAAAGTAAAGGTAGTTAACTATCAAGGTCAACCATCACAATGTTCATTGCTTAAAACCTAAATTAAATCATGGATACTTATTTGAATAACAACAAAGTGCTATAATCTTAAAGATGCATGTGGTTTGGTTCCTGGAACTCCAGTATTGAGATAAGACTTACCTCTCTTGAGCTTCCCAAACACTGCAAATTGCCATTCACAATGATTCCTATGCGGTCACAGAGAAACTCAGCCTCCTCCATGGAGTGTGCTGTACATCCATTTCCATGTCTACATAAGAGCCCTACTAATCTAATTCAAAGGAAACAAATGCAGAATCTAAACAACCACCTTAATATCTTGAGTAAAAAAACAAGTTTAGGGCATTGATCAAATTGTTGTCACTTGCCAGGAATATTGATCAATTGGTACCATGTTGTCAGTTGACAGGAAAACAGATAGTAGAGGTATTCATTTTTTTTTTCCTTTTGTAGGTTCCAGTGCTTTATGTCTTCCAATAAAAAATGTTGCTGCAAAATGATATGCTATTAACAATGAATGTACTAAATCAAGATTTGGATTGGCACCTTTTAAGCCCCAAACAAGTTATTCATTTTTTTCTCTTTCATAGTTAAGTATTCAAAAAATCAAAAATGGAAGAGACTTCTAATTCTCAGCTAGGAGTGCAAATCAGGCTGTGTTAGGTCAGGTTGAGGTCAACATCAACCCTAACCCAAGTTGTTGAAACCCCAACCGTAGCCCTAACCCAACACAACCTTCACTGGCGAGGGTTGGGTGGCTGACTGGCTGGGTTGGGTTTGGGTTGGCCTAATTTCTCTGTTTGTTTCTGCTTTAAAAATGTTCTCACTTCTTAGACTTAGAATTAACTGATTAGGGTTAACTCACTTTAGCATTTGTATATATATGGGCATATTTGCACAAATACTAAACTTATGTTACACTAAAAAATCTTGGCCTTTGAACTTAAAAATTATTGCTGATGGCCCAGTAACTGAGATGGTCATTCGGCATCCCTCCAAATATGGACGCATGAGATAAAACCTGCATAACAGTAGGCTGCCCATGTTTAAGGTCAGTGGACCTCATGTGCACCTTCTGTGTCCCCATCCTTAATTCCCCTGTAATCTGTAATGTGTAATATGTAATACCAAAAAAGAACTTGAAATTTCTCGATATGGACACAAAGACACACAACATACACATACAGACATTATATCGATACAAATATACATACATATATGGATGGCTGGATGAATGCATACATACATAGATACATGATCATTTACATAATATTTATATATGCAAATATGAATAGACATGTTGAGTTTGGGTTGGGTTGCCTGAGTCCTCAACCCCAACCCAACCTGATTTTTTCGGGTTGGATTTGGGATAACCCATCCCAAGTTGTAGCCCTATTCTCAGTTGAAAATCCAACCCAAATGAATATACTATATTCTTCTAAATGAAAATGCAACTATAACTAAATATCTAATTCTTAGAAAATATATCACCAATTAGAGTGATGAATCTTAAACTAAACTCTTTCTCACTGCCCTTGTTATTTCGGTCATCTTCATCTTTGTATCCTTCTATCTTTGCCTCAATTAATTCTTTCTCTTTGTTATTATTAGAAGAAAGTTGACATCAGAATAAACATAAATAAACTAAGTAATCTCCCACTTATCTTTTCAAACCACAATTTGCTTCAATAAAAAAAAAAAAGGGAAAAGGCTTACTGGTAAGAATGATAGCACGGGCTGCCTTGGCTTGCTTTATAACATTCCATACATAATTTCTTGACTCTGGATCTAATCCAGTGGTAGGTTCATCCAAAAAGACAACCTATAGAGGTAAAAAATGTTACATGATAGATGATCAATTAGAAACTAAATGTACAAGTCTTATAAATAGCAACTTTCATTAATTATTGCAATATTAGTGGGTATAGGGGGCGTCATAAGGGATGAAGGAGGGAATATAATTGCATTGTTTTCAGGCCTGGTTGGTCTAGGGGATTCCATCTTTTCTGAGTTCCAAGAAGTTCTGCAGGGGGTGCAGCTTGCAAAACAGCTAAATGTGGATAAATTGATAGTTGAGGGGGATTCCAAGCTGGTAGTTGGGTGGCTAAAAGGCCAGAATCTGTTATTTGGACCTAAAAGGAAGCTGTGAAGAAGTTCAAATGGCTAACCTCTAATATGATTATAATAATTCAGTGGCAAAGAAGGTCGGCTAATGGCTTAGCAGATTCTTTAGCTAAGCAAGGGATTTTTAGGGAATCTATCTTTTGGGCCCAATTGTAAATTGTTTTGTACCTGAGGCTGCATCTCGTGCCTCCTCTTGGGATGCCTTTCTGTACACTTTTTGGTTAATTCTTAATATTATCTTTCTTTTCCTATCAAAAACATTATTACAATATTAGGATATGAGCACACATGCAGAACAAAGAGACTACCAACAAGATCTCCAAGTAAGAAAAATTAAACTGATTAGGTTGGAAGATCACTATTATCTAGTCCCTAGGCCTATTTTTTCTTAAATGAGCTTTAGGTAATCTTCTTGCAAGCATGCCGCTTTGTCCTGATATTATGTTATATGTTATAACTAACAACCTATAAATAGTTAAGATGATCCAATTACTCAATTGTGTCCATACATACTCGTGTATAGCTTATGAGGGAAATAGCAAGACTGAGCCTTCGTTTCATGCCTCCACTATATCTACCAACAAGCTGGTCACCTAAGTTACCTTCACAGAGATTCAAGCTTCTTAATGATTTATCGACTACCTGTAACACCCAAAATGCAGAACTGACTTATTTGTTTCTATGTCTCCAATCTGCAATATGATCTGAAATCAAGTTCTATATAAGCCATCTTACTTGGTGCAAGGCTTTGCCTTTTAGGTTTCTTAGCCTACCATAGAACAAAAGGTGCTCCCTTCCAGTTAAAGTCTCCCAAAGCAAGCTGCACTAAATGCTAAAATTAAAGAAAATAGGAAGAGATAAATAAAAATACTTCATTTCCATATATCATGATTGATTGCAACTAGAGATTAATATAGTTGATCAAATTTTGAATAGTCAAAACTTAAATTACAGGTAAATTAAATTTAATTTAATTTTCCAGTACAACTGTATCATGAATACCTCAAGAAAAACATAGATATCAAAAGGCGAATACAAATTGAGAATTTATTCGCCAACTCAAGAAGATCAATCCTGTAAAATGTCTTGATATCCACTCTTGTTTAGCATTGTTCCTCAAAAGAATTTCAGGCTTTTAGAATTTATTTTTTAAAACCTTGGCAGACCTAAAAGAATCTGAGGAATTTGCATACTCCCATTCCAAAACATCTTAGATATTTTTGTACATACCTATTTTGCATAAGGATGAGTTTCAACATTTTCATGTTTTCCATAGAAAATCAAGGCCGTCAATAACTTTGTGTCTTTTTTTGAGGAACAATAACTTTGTGTCTTTTTAAAAACAAAAAAAAAAAACTTTGTATCTTTCAGAAAACCTCTCACAAATTTTAGATTGTAAAACCAATCATAAATACTATATTAAACAAACTTAGCATAGTAGACTAGTGATTAATATGTTAAAAAAGGGAAAGAAACCATGGAAGATGAAATTTAGTTTATTAAGATTCCTACACAGTGTAAGAGAACAGACATGTGAAGTGCCACAGACCCGGTTTAGTGCATCCTGAGTTGAAACTGAGTCAGCCCAGTCCAATGGCCAACCCAAGTCACGAAGCAGTAATTCAGAACAAATTATAGGAGCAGTGTAAGGATAAACTAGTGGATGACAGCTGGCCATCCATGATGAGTTGGCAAAATTACTATAAGGTTCCAAAACAAACTCTTAAAAGAAAGAAGATATATATAGGTGGAGACCCGTATCCAAGGGGGGATCTAAGACCCAATTCCTCTCTCCCTCCCTCTCTCATCACTGACATTACGCAGGGACCATGGTGATCTGATCCCTCTCCAGAGGGCATGAAATGTAATGCAGCCCCTCCAGGGGTCCAGCCACTTCTTCACTCCACTGGTTCTGACCATTGTCCCTCAGATCTTCGGAGCCAACCATCTCTGCCACATCCATGGTCAAACACACAGTGGTATTCATAGTTTTTGTGTGATAAGGAGATTGGTAAATTTGAGTTTTTGAAAGTTATTTTAGTAGTCGATCAAGACTACAGTCAGTCGTGGATTCCAAAGGATTTCAGATTGAGAAAAGTAGAAGGAAAGAGGGAGAAGAAGAAGAAGAAAGCAGAAGTACACAAGGGTTTTGAAAAGGAGGGACAGACCGAATGAATCTGCCGCCGCCACTCTCTCAATATTTATTTGTTATGTTCACTAATTGTAGGAAAGGGCAGAATTGCCCTTAATGCTTATATTGCAAATAAAACAATAATAAACTGAAATAACAAGCTGTCTAAAATAACTACCAACTAACACTGACATAACTAACAAAGATTACATGTGCTGTCATACGAACACAGTGGGGACCACAGCCGTGGGGCCCACATCAGTGTTCTCTACAATTTTCTATCTTTTTTTTATATCATAGAAATAATTAGTCTGAGGAGGGTGGGCCTTGGTGCAACGGTGCTTTTGCAACCTGGGTGACCAGGGTTCAAATCTTGGAAACAGCCTCTTTGTACGTGCAGAGATAAGGCTGCATACATCTATCCCTCCCCAGACCCTGCATTAGCGGGAGTGTCGTGCACTGTGCTGCCCTTTTTAAATAGATAGTCATATTAAGGTTCAAAAGAATTTAATATCCATCAAAAAAGAAATTAAGGAGTTATATAAAGAGATTTTAAAATTTTGAAAAGTTGAAGTTGCAAACACATCAATTTTCTTGCAGATTATTTTTTTAGGGATCAAAACGGATCTGTTTTACCTGATTTGGGTGCCATTATTATCCAGTAAGACTAAGATCTCGTCAATCCCACATGTTTTCAGAGACTTACGGTCATTTTACTGATAGGATGCCAATTGTTATGGGATTTATCCTATTTTCTAGGTCTACATTGGAGTTGCTTTTCATTGGTTTAGTTTTAGTGGGATTCTTAGTGGGCATTTGTAGCTTTTTTAAAGGTTAGAGTGCATATTTGAGTGTTGATTTATCTTAGTTATGAAGCAGTTAGGAATCATTTCTGAACAGTCTCCTAGTAAAATTGCATTTTATAAAGGGAAATTTGAGCCCTTATGTGGAGTCTATAAATAGAGTCATGATTAAAACTTTAGAGGTGATTTAATGAATAAAAATTCTTTCTTTTCTTTCCTCTCTCTCCTCTTTCAAGGTTTGATCTTTCTTCTGTTTATCTTCTCTATTTTCTTCTATTTTTTAATCTGAAACTCTTCTATTTGTCTTTTCTTTCTACCATACCAGATTTGAATTCTTTCTCTACTCTCCATGTATACCTTTGTTGGACTACTCTCCTTCCCATCCTACTAGATCAACAGCTGATCAAAAAGTGCAAATTAGTATTTATTAGTTTTTCATCAAACTAAAAAACTACAGGAAACTGCACTCTTTTCAAATGCAACTACTATCATAACAAGTTAATGATCAGATCTCAAGATTCTATTTCTCCTGTGACAATGCAGAATCTTTGTGAAGTAGTTTTCTAGATAAAATTAGATTTATTTCAAGTCCTTTAATTGGGGTTTTCTCTATTAGAAAGATTTCCCAATATCTGCCAAATAACAATTTTATTGTTTTTTGTTTAAAATAGACTTTTGGTGAATTTTAGAGGAAGAAGACAGGAAGAAATTACTTGAATGTCATTAAATGATTTTCCCAATTAGATGCTGTCCATGGATTAGGTATTGCCATAAATTTTGCTAAGAAGGTTACCAAAATAGATATTGAATTAAGATATATTCTGATAACTGTGGACATAAAACCCAGTTATCAGGTTTTGTATAAATGATAGCTATACTATTCAATCAACCTTGAATAGAATTTTCAGACGCATGGGAAGGCAGATTAAAAGTTTTCAAATGCCTATCACTACCACAAGTAGGAATTCCAAGGCCACCAATCTAAACTCATCTGCATGTGACATGCCTCCACTAATCAGTTATAAGGAAACTTAGAACTAGGTGGCAAGACCTATTTCTAGCCAAAGAAGTTTGTAGAGTCCACTTTTTTTTCTTTGTTAAGTGGAGTATAAAATTGTATCAAATAAAGGAAAGAACCCCCAAAATGCACAAGCTATAACTTTTTCATAAAGGTGAATGAAATGTCCCAAATTTCAGTCTAAATATCAGAATTATTACTATTCTACCTCCACATTGCTCAAACTCACTGCAACTTTAACAATAAACCTAGCTTATTTCTGCCTTTAGATTAAACCATCACTTTATCACATTTAAATATATATACACCCTCTTAGTTTCTCAATTTAACATATCAGAACTCTGAGACAGAACTTCTCAAAGCAAGTGTAAGAAGTGGGAAGCAACCCTGGTACTCCAGGTTTCTCATACCCTAGAACAAGAGGCTTTTTCTTTTACTCAAACTCCCCCAAGGTAAGCTACATTAAATGCTTAAGTTAGGGAAACTATAAGAAAGAAAATGTAGTCACATAAATCAATAAAGAAATCTTAAGGTAGAAAGTTAATGAAACAATCAACATTTAATTGTGAATTATGTATAGATTTCTATTGGTAATAAGCATATTAGTGAAGTTGGTCAAATTGCGAGAGGCAAATTTTGATGCAGAAAATTTATCAATTATAAAAGGAAAAAAAAAAAGAAACTCCATTTAGAAATTCATATGGTTAGTTAAGCAGTTGAAGTTTAAATCTCAGGAATCCGTTGGGAATTCAAGGGTGTTTATTAAACATAATTCTGTATTATGAAAAAACATGAAAACTGAAACCATTAAAGAATTAAAAACTTCAAATATATTTTCACTAAGATAAAAAAACATTAGATTTTAAAAAAAATTAAAGAAATTACCTAAGCTTTTCATTTTGCATTCCCTTTTAGATCTTGCTAGATTTTCTTAACATATCTAAGATTTCCGCAAGAAGTTAAATAAAATTATGAAGGGAAATAGACCAAACATCATTAGGATTCTCCTCTAGCTTTTTCCTCAGGATTTATCCATATCCATATTTATTCAACACATCCCAATTTTCCTTCAATATGATTCAGATTTAACGTAAAGGAAAAGTTCAGAAGTTACAGGAGAGGAGATCATACTCCTGCTGTGGACAAATCGATATTCTTGTGTAAATATGATCCATATTTGATACAATGTCCATATAATCAATGAATGCAGTACCAGATGTTGGGGGTAGAAAACCAGTCACCTGCGAGGCACATGGACCACAAATTGGTTTCATATATGTGCATAGAAGCAAATACCAAGGAAAAATACAGAGAATGCGAATCATAGATAAAATGCCACATCATATGAATTTTGAATGCATGTTTAGGATTGTTAAACGGCATGGAGGTACTGACCATATTAATAAAAGTGGTCTTTCCAGAACCACTAGGGCCAAGCATACCAAAGCATTCCCCTTGGGGTACAGCAAGAGATAGACTTTGGACTGCATGCCTCCTAGAGTTTCCATCTTGTCCAATGTAAACTTTCTTTAAGTTATGGCAAAAGATTGGATAACTTCCATTTGGTTCCTTCATTAGTTGTTGAACTTTATATCTCTGCAAAGGAAGGAAGAAAAATGGTATATTCAAATGTAAGACCAGATTTGTTGTCGATCCTATTTCCTGGTTATTACAGAGAAGCTTTGAACATCTGTGGTGAACCAAGGACATATCAGAAGAAATAAACTTGTCTCTCTAAAATTCTATAACAAATAAGAATGTAATAGCCTATCATGACCCATGAAATAGACCAGAAGTTGTTTAATTTCATTAACCAAACACATACATTTAGGATAAGGATTTTCTGAGCTATAAAACATTATCTCTCAAGTTTCATGACAGATAAAAGATCTTTCGATTAAACTTAACTGTCCAATTGAGTCTTGTGCTTTTCGGCAGTCAGTGTCTTAATGGTATATGTAAAAGTTAAATTCATCATATGGAGAAATCATCAATTAAAATTGATGTGTTCACTTCAATAAAATATGTTTATCACATAGTCAATGACCCAGATCACTAAGCATGTGCACCAAGTTTATAGTGAATGATACAGGAAATTGGGTCAATTGACTAGGGTGATCATTCTTATCCCAGCCCAGTCCAAGCCCAGCATTGTGTGTGTGTGTGTGTGAATCCATGTATGCATGTATTATATTATATATAACATATAATTTATATGTAAGTTTGTAGGCCCAGACCAGCCCATAACCATCACTCAAAATTGCCTCTAAATGAAATGTCAAAGTGTGCCCTCAGTCTTGCTACAATAGATTTTACCTCTTCAGAGATGTCAGGACTCTCTAAATCAACAAATATAGTTGATCTCTCTCTGAAGCTTGGAAATGTAGGCAGTTGCTTATCCCTCTTCCAGAAGGTCCCCAAGAAAAATAGAGGATGTCTGGTTATTCCATTTCCTGAAGAAATAACTTGATTCATGTAGTATGATACAGCAAGCAAGATTAACCATTCCAGAGCCATAATGATCAAAGTTCCCCGAATGCCATCCTTTTGGTCACTCAGGTCTTCCCACTTCATGCCAAAAGTTCCTAGATTATGTCCTGCTAATGCAGACTGTGAAAGTTCATATAGCCCCCGGTACAAAGAAAATCCAGGCATCAGCTCCATAAACATCAGCCACCACCCTAAAGAATAGCAATCTTGTGGTTTAATAAAATCTTTAAGAAGTTTAAAATTCAAATGTATCATCTCACAGATAGCCCTTGGGTTCTTACTTGAGAAGGTTGTGTCTTCAATATAAAAATTGAAAAGGAAAGCACCCAGAAGTCCAGATCCAAAGACATAAATATATCCTGCAACTGCATAGTAGGCACCTAGATTAGAAAGCTACTCAGGGTGAAACAGTGCTGATGATGCTGGCCACATTTCAAGCTGTACATTCAACCAAAGTATTCCTTGATCATGGACCATTGCTAGTTCATCTAGGATAATCCCCAGAGACCACTTGGATCGTCTAATTTCCCCTAGTATCATGGAATTCTATAGTGGATACCTTGAGGAAGCCTATACTTTTGTCTTCAGTCCAAATTTAACTGCAGACAGGATAGTTAAAACCCTTCACTGGGTTTTCAACCAACCTGACTTCTGTGATCCCTTCAGAAGATTCCCTAACATTAATGTCTCAGCACATATGTGTATTGTATGGAATTAAGGAAGTGTTGGTAAAAAATATTATTTCAATTATTTCAAGCCTTACAAAACCAACACCCATAAAGAATAAAAACAAAAGAATAGTGAAAAGGTATGGTATACCTCTTGCAGTTTCAGCTTCCGAGAAAAATGCTGCTGCTAGAAAAGCAAGTACAATTTGTAACTTCAAATAAAGTAAATAGAATACAAACTGGATAGAAAAACTATTCAACCGGAAAATCTCCAAACCTGTGAGAAAGCAAACACAATAAGAGATTTGGAAACAAAGTATAACCCTAGGTCAGTCGAAGTTTATTACTTGAAAGCAAAGCCTACCTGCAATGGATCCAATAATGGCAAACCAAGTCATATAAATGAATGATATGACTAAAAAATACCCATAAGTAATCAGCCAGTAAGGACCATCTCTAAGTCCATGCAGTTTCATCATGATTGTCAGCTTGTGCTGCTTTTCATAAACTAAAGACGTCAAAAAAACCTACACAATTCCACAAGATAGTCAAACCAATATGGAATCATAATGAACACACAGTAAAGCAAAGTACACAGATCAGAAATAAATTTCTCAGTTTAGTGAATGAAAATAGAGGCTGAACTATAGGAATATACTACCCCAAATATAGTATTCAAAAAATCCTAATGACAAAATAAATCATCCCTTCTTCCAGCAACACAGAAATCGAACAGAAAAAAATGTAGTTCCTAACCATCTTCCCATCTGGAAGAATAATCAGAGAGATCTCATCTCACTACCTTACACTAATTTTAATTTAAATGAAAATTAAAGTGATGGCTATACAAACCTTTTCTTTGACAAGGGAGGATACAATTTCAATCACTGACGTTTCTTTTAAATTAACCAAACTCAATCATAGACCATCATTAATGTGTTCTCAAATAGATTTAAAGGCCAAAGAAAGATTGAATTGCCTAAATATCAAGCAAAACAGATGTATAAAACCATTCTTCCTTGAGGAAACACAGAAAAAATTTTAACACATTCTTAAACAAGCCAAGAGTGAAAAAACAAGTAGAGGCATACAGGGAATAGCAACTGGATGACCCATGCAAAGAGAAGTGGAGACAGAGCAGAAGACAGATCAAGCCTCATCCTTGTCCCTGGCTTTGGCATTTCTTTAACAAATTCAAGAAAAACATGCAATTGATCATCTCTGAAATTTCGAAGGAATGCATTTGAAATCTGCATGAAAAAGAAAAGAGAAAAGAAAAAGATCTTTCACTGAAAGGACTATTTCATACAGTCAGGAGAGGTAATATAGGTTGTATAGAAACAATAGATGAAGCAAATGGTAAGAATAGCATTATGATGAATTCCTGAAGCAACCAACATGCACACATAATGGCTATACATTACATGCTCTATGGAACTGGAAAAAAGTAAACACATAAACAAGGAAATCTAATATGTACATCTAAAACAATAGGAATTCCTTATCAGATCATCACAACATCAAATTGAAATGCATGATTGGGATGTATTTGTGCATATTTTAAAAGTGGAAAGGTGACACTGGGTTTCATTTATAAGGAAAATTATCAAAGATAAATCCTAGACACATGGGTTGGTCAAACTCATTTTTAAATAATGGTGTCTTCAATACCATGTATCTGCTGCATCATGTTGTGCCCAGTGAATTGTCAATTTTGGCTTTAAACACTGGACCTAGAAGGCTAGAAGATGTAATATAGATCCATGGTGCCCAAGGCTTAAGACAGGTCTAACCAACCAGCAATTATAGCATTATTATTTATAAAAACTCTTTAGTTCAAAAGCCAACTAAAACATTTCAAAAGTTGTATCATAACCATGTTAAATCTACCAAAGTGTGGAAGCCAAACAATTGATATGTCCATTCCTTGAATTTCAATTGAGGAATGGTAATGGTACAGTTCCTTTTCTAAGTTCCTGATTCGTCATTCTATGCTAATTCACTCCAACTAATTTCTCTACACTTTTCCCAAATTGTTGAGCAATTCATCTAGAAATTAATTTAGTATACTTCATCATCACCTAAAAAATTGTTTACTTTTCAGTAATAAATGAAACTGAATAAACAATATCACCGAATTAATATAACTTCTGTCATAGTTTGGTAAGCAGTGTTGCATGGACTCTCCTAAATGGACAACGTGTCCTGTCAGACACATGTCAGAGTCTGACACTGCACAGATTCTTGAGGGCACTTCTACATAACATTTCCATTTTTTATTTCCTAGCTTATTTGACATAAATAAACAGCTAATCTACAAGATGAATCTATTTTTGGTATTAAATGTCAATTAGTAACAAAAGCAATCTAGGTATATAATGTTAGAATTCAAAAAAAAAAAGAATTATTTTAATAGTATATATGTTTTCCATAGATGTGTCTTCAAGTCCATGTTTTCTCATCTTTCTGAGTCAGACTCTTAGGAATATGTCAGATTCTGAGCCCCATGTCCTTGTTCATGCAACACTGTTGGTAAGTATTCTGCTACATGTGAAGGTCTTATTTAAGAATGACTAAATAAAAGACAGGATGATGGCAATGATGATGATGATACCTCGCTTTATAAGATTTGAATTTCTGAACATACTAAGCTTTTCCGTGAGATCTTACTTTCCTCACTTTTTGGTTGGCTTTTCTCGAACATCTTTTTTCTTGTTAAGCTATAAGTGGAAACCAACTGTTTCTTGTTTTAATTTAAATTTCAAACATAAAATTGAACAAATAAGAAAATTTAAGGATTGGACATGTTGCTTCAATTAATTTGTTAAATATCCTTCACACATACTACTATTCATGTGGTATATATTATTAAGGAATATGTAAAGGTATGGTATTAGTAGCAGATATAATAGAATTAATCAACGAATTCTTTATTTGGTTTCAAGGCAATATTTAGATAATAAGTGACGTAATGAGCAATTCTTCATATTGAAGTTAGACCTCATTGATTAAATTTTCAGCACAAGGATAGATTTCATAAAATACTGAAACTAGAGAAGGAAGGAATTCCCCAATATTAGTTATGTAGTTGCAGAAGACATGATACCAAGCAGGAAATAGCTTGTTGGCTTTATAGTATTTTTCAGATCAGGAAAACGCACTCCAAAGCATAATCAATTAATAAAGATCCAAAAATTAAAGGCATACCATGTTCAGAGCTCGATGTATCCGCAGCAAGCGTGGAACTGTAACCAGATTGTTATATGTGGAATTGTACCAAAATCTGACATTATAGTTAACCTTACTTGTGTTCAAGAAATCATAAGCTGCATAAAACAACAAAGTATTCAGAGAACTAAGTCCTAGATCCTAATCTTAAAACATATCATGCACTGGTTAAACATAATTTCAAACACACCCCCAAGGATTTCATGGATTTCTTTTGCTGAATTTCCACCCCGATAGCCTTGAAATAGTTCTCTGTTGATAATTGATGAGTTCTTCCTCCACAAGTACAAACTTTCAACACAGTCAATATCTATGATTAAAAAAAATACGGGGCACTGTAAGTACTGTTACAAAAGTGCTGCTAAAACTAATATGCCTCTCTTGTCAAAACAATTTAGGTAAAGTCTATATACCATGATGGAATGTTGCACTGCCTACAGTCATAGGGATAGTGTAGCTGAAGTTCCCTGGGCAATGAGGTAGAATAATATTTATTGAAGAGTTGCCCAAAAAGGCTCGTTCCACAAAGTTGGTAGTCCCAGGCTTGCTGCTCGTTCCCTAAGAATTTATATCAAGAAAGAAATAAATATATGCATCTTCTGTGCCAACACATGAAACTTGAAACATATACAGGTTAAACAAAGAAGTAACGTTATTGTTGCTAGCATAGAAAGGATGATACAATATATGAGAGTGAAGCCAAGTCCAAAGCATTTGTCGATTCTTCTGGAAAAGCATCTTGTTCGACCCTCTTGACCAGACCTGCAACACTTGAAGAATTATGGTTCTCCTAATATAAAAACAAAGAAACTCTCTTGTGGAAACCTTGATTTCTAGAGAGGTAGGACCTTTTACCTTCTCCACTCCTCTGTACATGGATAAACTGTTAGCAATTCACCTAAAATTCATGAATTATTCAGGAAAACATATAATAAACTAATAATTTGGCCCCTGAAAGTATGAAACATGCTGAATTTTTCATCCTGATTTTTTATACTAAAATGTACTAAACACATACACAAATTTTACCATTTGTTTGACGTATTCTATTGCTTTTTTTGTTTTACCAAATCCTTTATTTCTGAAAACAAATTAAACTCATTCTTTTGTGAAGCAAATTTTTGCCATATGCTGATTCTAAATTGCTAACAATGCACGAATTGGCAGGCATCCACCAGGAACAAGTTCACCATTTAATGGTTCCAAAATGAATTCATGTTATAAGATGAGCAAGGAAATCAAGTCCAGTTAACATACTCTCTGCAACACTTCTGTTTTGTGCAGTGAAGATTGAAGTCACTGGGCAAGAATGTGTTTTCAAGCAAGAATTATCCCATAAGCCTCTGAATGAGTGAGCATCTGTTTGGACAGCTCTGTAGGAAGAATCTGGCACTTGCAACAAGGCAGGCCATTTTTCTGGCTGTGGTATAGGACAAGCACTAGCTTGCTTGTAAGTTGAGTACTCCAATCCACAGACCATCTTACAGGTGCTATCATTTGTGGGAATGCACTTACATCCACAACGATACCTTGGATTGTCTAGTTCAGAATTGATCACCAGTTGTAGTAAAACAATCAGCAAGCACAAGAACACCGGGAACATGATTAGAGTGACATTCAATTTAATATTCCGTCTCTGCAAAAGCACAATATTTTCAATTGATCAGAAATAGAATAACTAGTCTATTGCGAGCTGTGACCTTGATGTTTGATATCAGTAAGCCATCATAATAATGCATTCTAGCATGAGCTATCTTAAATTTGCATTCTAAAATGGAAAAAAAAAATACACAAGTAAATAAGTAACTAGGTTAAGTTAATGAGTTGAGAAATGCATTGGACCTTTGAGAACCTTATGACCAGACCATTGATACAAACCATGATATATCAATTATATTTCCACATCATTCACATTGAAGAAACACTTGTTCTATAATTTCCCTCACGAGACCAATTCAAAATCATTACACGGTGTTATAAAAACTAGAGAGAGGAAAATCTTCACTAGGACAAGCATAACTCTGTAAGATATGTTATAGCCTTTATGAAGTACAGTTTAGTAAAAGATATTCCCAGTTGTTGGACTAAAATGGCTTTGCATTTAATTGTCCAATGCTGCATGGCAAACATATAGTAGCTGGATTTATTCTAGACGGCTAGTACTTTCACGGATTATTATCTTTTCCGGGCCATTCATCACATTTCTGATGGTCTAACCTGCCAAACGAACCATTGAAGTATGTAGAGGACCATGTTTATGCTCCGTATTCACACAGGTCCTCAGTGAGGCTGATGGAAAGACGGATACAGTCTTTCAACATGCTCGACATGTAAGTATGTAACTAACGATAACCAGCCTCTGTACCCGAAGTTCTCCCAGATTTTCTACTACAATTCAATAGAAATTAGATCGAACAAAAAAAGTGCAATCAGAAGAGGATGAAAGCATCTTCAAATTAGTTCATTCATGAAACACATTATGTCATTATCATTCAAAACTACCCTAACATCCCCTATCGTTCATGACATCTAATGATTTGTTGTCAAATAAATCACCAAATTGACATGTAAACAGTGATAGCAAGGGAAACTAAATTGAACTCGTTTTCGGTGCTGCAAGGGCGAGAAACACTAATCCAAACGACTAGTTTCAGATATTAAAGCCTAAATGCATATTCAGAAAATCAGTGTTTGTAACCATAGATTTGATTAATAGAATCGAACTTCCACATTGCCACAATCTTAATTACCTGCTTGCATTTATTCAATAAAATCATCGACGAGAACTCAAATTGAGGATTACTTGTCACTTGTAGTTTGGCTACTCTTTCTTCTTCGTCTGCTCTTAAAATTAAAACTAAAAAGTTTTGGCATCGGTTGCCGCGAATAGCACGAAGCCATTTTTTAATGCTCCGTGTTTTTCCCTATAACATACTTTTCACCACTAGTAGCATATATTAATGTGACAAATAAAAGCATAGACATATGTCCATTATCATTGACTTACTTTTAAGTATCATCTGTCATTAGTTTATATTGTCACATCTCATTTATATGTCATTCATCTAACATTTGGATATTATTTGTCATTGATAATAGTGTTATGTGGCAGATATTTCATTTGAACATAATTCGTGATAATTATATATTATGTGACATTCATCTATGCTATCATGTGATATGTAATATCATTGATTTATTTTTATATACCATAAGTCATATATATTATTGATTTACATTTAAATGTCGTATAACATTCATATATGATGCCGTGTAACATGCATACAAAATATGAATTACCACAAAATAAGACCTAATGTTCATTAATTCATGAAAATAGTGGGTTTTTATCAAAAGAGAAAGGGTGTTCATGATTTAATTTGGTACAATTTAGAGTAGATGTCAAATCAAACCAATAAAATAGGGTTTGAGAATTTCTTGAGTGAAATCAAATTGTTTTAGAACGATTTATTATGGTTTCTAATACATTTGGGCCATTCTATTGGGTTAAATCCAATTAAAAAGCCTGAACCATATATATGCTTGTATAAATAATAAACGTTGTCTTTTAGTCACTACAAAATCATTAAATCATTATAATTGGTATACCATGTAAGCATTAATTTATTTATATTTTGAGGAATTCAGATTCAATCCTCATAAAATTTGTTCTCACACCGTCGTTACAACACTTGCAGCCTTGCATTGAGAACATGCCCCCATGAATGAAAAAATATAAATACAAAGATGTTCCAAATACATGACTATGTATTGTGACTCTATTTTGAGAGTATTTTTTTTTATAATTTACGATTTACGGTTTGATTTAATTGATAAAATTCAGGAAACCAAACAAAACTATAAATAACAGTTCGGTGGTTCAACTCAGTTTCACGGTTTGAACCATATAATGAACAGTTGAACACCCCTATCAAGAAATACTGTTGAAACGTAGTTCCACTTCAGCCGTGCCCTAAATTATACGGCTCCTCTCGTAGCCAAGGAAAAGACGAAAACTAGTTTTATCATCTTGCATGGTTCCAAGTGGCCTCATTCTAAGACACCCTTACATAAAATACAGTTTTTATCCCATTGTAAGAGGTCGCTCCACTCTTTATTGCAATTCATCCCTTAACTCTATTTATTTGTGGTGTAAATCCAAATCGGATATAAATTTTGTACTTGATTTAGTTTTTCATCCATTTCTTTGCACTTCTGCTTGATATAAAATGTGAACTTATTGTCTCATTTGCATTCATTACCAGTGCAAAATCTCATCCAAAAAACTAAAGCAAAATTTGTACCACTTTCTTTCTGCTTCAAATCTCTCTTATAAAGTAGGATATACATCATCTTGCTTCCTTCCATACTCCCAAACAAACAAACAAACCTCCTTTTAACTCCGTTCTCTCCCATACAAATTACAAAGCACCAACCATTTCATTTTACTCTCACAAAAAAAAAAAAAATCATAAAAGTCAAACATAAATTAAATTAAATTTATAATCAGATTTTTTCCCGAAGCCAGGATGCAGCCAACTTGAAAGATTGGAAGCCTATTCCTGTACATGTGGCAGAAGAAGATGGTTGCATTTATTTGCCCTGTTTTTAGCTTTTTTTTACCTTTTACATGCGACAACTGAGTTGGCGTTCCAAATGGAGCCATTAATTTAATTTTAGGGTAAATTGATGAAACCTCCCTGAAGTTTGATAATTGCAATTACTTCTTTTGATTTTTTTTTTTTTTGACATGGTTGCAATTAGACTCCTTCTACTAGAACTAGGGGTGTCAATCGATCGTCCGGGGTTTTGGATTGGATCCAATCTGATTCAAACCTTATCAAATTGGATTTGGACAGTCCACTATAATTATTGAATTGGCCCAATCCAAAATAAATTGGTCCATATTCTTATTGATCTGAATTGGACCTAAACCAAATTTTCAATAATCCAATCATGAGACTAAATCCTTGTCCAATTTGAAATCGGTCAAAATTGAAACTGGCATAAAATCACTTTTACAAAATTACTTTTACGAAAGCACTTTTATAAAAGTAATTTTTTATTACAAAAAATACTTTTATGAAATCACTTTCACAAAAATATTTTTATGAAAGCAATTCTATAAAAGTACTTTACACGAAATCACTTTTATAAATGTGCTTCTATGAAAGTATTTTTATAAAAGCACTTCTACGAAAGTACTTTTATAAAAGCACTTTTAAAAAATAACTTATATGAGAGTACTTTTATAAAAATACTTTTACGAAAGCACTTTTGTGAAAGCATTTCTACAAAAATACTTTTTTAATTCCAAAAGGGTATATTTTTGTAATTTTCAGATTTTTTCGTTTCAATATATTTTAGTAATTTTTTGTATGTTATATTTTTGTATATACTTTTTGATATTTCATTCAGTTTGGATTGGATCCAATTGAGTCCATTTACATTTTAATGGAATGGATTGGGTTTGGAATGGGTTGGGTCCAGCCCATTTGTAAGTGGACTCACATTGGACTGGATTGGGTTGGACCAAATTCAGTCCAATTCTCACCTCTAGTAAGAATCCTCTAACAAGAGGCACAAAGATGTCCAAAAATACCCATGCAATTACAATTGGGGCTGATTTTTCTTTTTTTTTTTTAAAAAAAAAAAGCAATACAAAGTTTTGAACAATATAAAAAAATAAGAGTGAAAGTTGTAACTTTACCTTTGAGCAATTGATATGAAGGGAAATTTTGGAAAATAAATCAATTTCGAAGAAGAGATTGGAAAGATTTAGGATAATGATTGATATGAAAAGAAAATTTGGAAAATAAACATTTTGGTCAAAAGTATTTTTACGGGCATTTTGGACATTTTCATGCCTCTTGTTAGAGGATTTTAAAGAGGGGGTCTACTTGCAACTGTGTTAAAAAGCACAAGAGAGATGATTGAAATTACCAAACTTCAGGAAGGTTTCAGCAATAGTCAGAAGCGTGAGGGGAGGTTTTAGCAATTTACCCTTAATTTTGTAAACTCCAACCTATCTTTTGGTTAAATGTGAGCCTTCGCTATGTCAAAAGTAAGTAACTAAGTAGCCCTTTTTTAATTATGCAAAAATATCAACAAATAATATCTATTACTTTTAAAGGAGAGCAGGTGTGAAATCGTTATGTCAACCCATGTGATAGATGGTCTGAATTTGCTTTCAATCCATCATTGACCCGGCTGGTTGGACCAGTCATCCGGTCAAGATTCTAGTTTCAGTTATTCTATAATTCATTACTTAACAAAAAAAAATATATTGACTTGATCTATGACTCATTGACTCAAATGGTTGAACCATTGACTCGTTCACCCCTTTCATCAGGTTTTTATATTATTTTATTATTTTAAATTGCTTATTGGCATTATGCCATAGGTTGACCCATTTGACCATATTGGTTGAATCAGTGATGGTTCACCTGAAGGAAAACGGGTTCAGCCTCTAGGTCGATCGGGTTCTAAAATATATAAAAAAATAAAGAACAAACATCAATTGAGATGTGTCCATAACAATTTTCTTAAATAGAAGCTCATCACATCTAAGAATAAAAAGGTTCGACTATGATACTAAATACATGGTATCCAAAAACACTTGTGACCAATCAACTGATATCAGAAATATGTTAATCAATTAAGTATCATTTATAAAAATTCATGGGTGAATTTTAATTGGTCAAAGCTCTTTTGGTAGGTACCATGTTTTTCCGGCATGATAGATTTCCCCAAAAAAATCTAATACAAACATGATCATCAAGTGTTCTATTTCATTTTTCAACAACCACTATATACAGTACTAAATAACGAAGACATGAATATAATTTCAAGTTTTACCAAAAAATTAATACAAAGACAATATGCAGCAATCTCTAGATAACAGATGAATTGAATATTATAAGAGTGAAACATAAAGATGATCAAAACAATTTGTTGTAAATGATCGGAAGAATTCACAAAGAATCTCAATCCAAATTTCAAGAAAGGGATTGTTTGATTGTAAAATGTCAAAACATAGAGCATCACAATGTATGGCAAAAGAAGAGGCAATTTCATCTCAACTACAATAGCAAGTAAACCACAATTCCTCCAATATTTTTTATTAGACAAAAATTAAGGGGTCGTTTGGTAAGTTTTTTTTGAAAGATATTCTAGAAGTTTTCATAGTCAAAAGATGTGAACTTTTGCATCAAAATCTAAATAGTTTAAAAATCATTTGGTTAAGGCACGTCTTTCTACGCAAAGATGCATTAAAAATGAGCATCATATGTCTTTTTGGGACTATAACTTTCAGCGGTTAAATCTTTTTCCAACTAAATAGGAAAAGACCAAAACACGGGTTACTGGACTTCTAAAAAACCGACAGCCCACACGAAAAGATGTGCCAAATGGGGCCTAAGTCATAGTCATTGCGTCTATTACATTTAAAACAACACAATTTTAGCAAATGATTTTTTAAGAAAAGATTTTCCCAAAAATATTTACAACGATTAGGCTCAGTTTTGAGAAGAATGTAGTACAAATACAAGGTTTTAAAGTACATAGAAGGTTTCACAATTTACACTGAATATATTGTATTTGCTCTCTCCCGAAACTAAGCCTTGAGGCTGTGTTTGATTTGAAGGAAAAAATAGGGAAAGAAAGGAAAAGGTAATAAAAGGTAGAAAAACCTATACAAGTTTTATAAAGATTTTCCTACATTTCCCTTCTTTTACATACCCTTTCCTTCAAACCAAACATAGCCTAACTGTAATTTCAACTCTCACAAATACCTATTGAAGAGTTCACATCGTCTGCATCCGGGTTGCAGAAATTTTTTCGTCACTCCATCTTATTAATCATAACTTTGCGGAGTTAACGGGAGTCTGGACTCAAAAAATAAAAAAATAAAAATAAGTTGAAGTCTATTTATTAATCCCGCCTTCATTCTCCCCTCAATCGTTTCCTCCCCCCCAGTTCCCACCTCTCTCTCTCTCTCTCCATTCTCCTTCAACCCAACACTGTCGTCCGATTCATCGCAACCACCAGCGGCTGACGACAAGTAATGTTTCTCTCTCTTCCATGTTATTTCTATCCCTCTCTCTCTTGAGATTCTCTCTCTCCCCCTCCTTCGTTCTCCTTCAGCCACCACTCTCACCACCCAAACCAGTACAACAAAGATCACTTTAGATAACGCTTTTGTTTTACAGAATTGCTAGAAAGTTGATCATGTGTTGGATTCAGATATGAGAGAAGTTTTTTAGTGGCACAATCCTTTTAGCCCCCATGCTTGTCTAGGTAGAAATTCAAGTTGAAAACCTCGAGCAGAGCAATCTATATAACAAACTGTTGATGGGATCTCTTCCACAATCCACCAAAAGTTTATTTGGCAAACAAAAACTCCTTCACAGGATTTTTTTTTTTCAGGTAGCAATACAACTAAGATAGTAAGATTGCAACAAGATGGATTTTAGCAAAAACAAGTTCTCAACCCAAATCACCTTAGAGATCAACCAATGCAAGCTGCTAACATTTATTGATCAGAATAGGAGTGAGTTACCTGGTGAGATTTCACCTAAGAATAGAGGTATACGAATCTTGGATCAACTGAATCTATTGAGGGATATGAAAAATCATTTTGCACTAGATGGAGGGTTGGGTTTCCGATTCCAAAGAAGAGAGAGAGAGAGAGTTCTGACGGCGCACCAGTAACGGTGGACGCTGGACGGTGATAGGTTGTGAGAGACTGAGAGGAGAGAGAAGGCAGGGAGAGAGCGAAGGAAAGTGAGGGAACAGGACTTTCGAGTCTAGACAAGAAGGGGACTCGGTTTTACCAACGTCCGTTAAACCAGACTCTGAAACCTATAAGTGACGTGGTGCTTTCTCATTCGCGGATGTAGAAATTTTTCAGCATCCTGTCTGCAAACGATGTGAACTCCCTATTGAAAGGTATTTATCTCTTCAATGCGGGATGCAAAGAATGAGGGACAAAACAAGAAAACACTTGTTTATCAAAATTTAGGAGAAAACCAAATTGGATAGTGACAGATAGGTATCTTGAACTTTTAATTATAACACTTGAGTATCTTGAATTTTCAAAAATAGACACTTGAATCCATCCATTAATGTAAAAAATATATGCTTCTTATACTTTTTTGAGATCACTAGAGAATGTTGTTGTTGGACAATTGAATATGTTATTTGTTATTCATGTGAAAACGTCATTATGGAGAGACATTTGATTCAATTACCTGAGAATGATCTTAGAAATACACAATAAAAGTATTTTTGGCATTATATAATATCTGTCACTATCCTCAAATTACAGGATATATCTATCTATCTATCTATCTATCTATTTCTCTCTCTCTCTCTCTATATATATAATTTTAACATGACAAGCCCATTACTCAATTAAAACTCAAACAAAACAAAGTTCATAAGAAGATTAAAAAAATGTATATGTGGTAATAACTATATAATCATCCTACAAAGACAAAAATGCCCCTTTAAAAATTTTGAATTACACTAAAAAAATTAGAGCATGAGGTGCTTGGGTTAAGAAAAGCCAGTCAAAACCCTTGATCTCGAGGTTTTCCGCCACTTGTAAAAGAAAAAAAAAAGATTTATTAGGTAAAATATTAGCTACCCAAATACCAATTCTTTGCGACCTCGACAGTTGACCACACGCACGCAGTTTCTTTTGGTTCATTCACAACTCCAAATCTTCCTCCAAATTCAGTTCATGCATGTATTGATTATCAATAATGAAGCAGTTATATATCAAGGAGGGCATTTTCGAAAAAAAAATATATATCAAGGAGAAACCAACTCCAGAGCTTGCTTCAACACAAAAGAAAATCAATTCAATGAGAGTTTACTTGGACGAGACAAAACTAAATAAATGCTTGCTTTGACTTTGAGACAGGGTTTTAGAACCGTCGTGATCCGAACGGTGGACGGTCGGGCCATTTGGCCTGGAACTATCAAGGAAATTGGTTCTATTTCACCCTGAACCACTCCCTCGCCAAAAACTATTGATTAAGGTGATTGAACAGTCAATTCATTTGACTTAGACAACAGCTTTTGGCTGTTTAATTTTTTGTTTTAATTATTTTTCTATTTTTTTTTTCAAATTGCAACGGACTATCCATTCAGATTGGATGGTTGAACCGCTGATTCCAGTTCTGGGTTGGGTTTTAAAATATTGCTTTGAGATTCTAATTAAACCGGGTCTAAGGTTCATCAAACCGTCACCCGGGAATGATTTTGGTAGTAAACCGTGTTGTTTTGTGGATAAGTAGTAGGTTAATCCGGGTTAGAGTAGGTAAGTGGATAATCAAACACAATTGGAGAGAGAGAGAGAGAGAGAGTCGTTTTTTAACTGCCGCAACCTAATTAAGCTAGTTGTTTTCGTAGGAATGTAGAATCCCAGTACGAAAAGTAAGATATACGGTAAAGCAAAAACAGTTTCGTCTTTAGTGGATGAACACGGTTTTGATATTTGAACCAAAATACGAAGAAATCTTCTCAGAAACGAAACCGCAGAAAGTAAAATGGAGGAAGAAAGAATGAAAATCAATGAAGTTCTTCGTATTTAGTTATTTACTATATATTCAGAACTTGACATGGCAGAGAGAGAGGGAGAAAGAGAGAGATGAACAATGCACCTGAAACGTAGCATTCTTCCTGAACAATGCATCAGCTTGAGTAGAAAACGAGGCAATCTCAGTCTGGTTGGTGGTGGTGTTGGCCGTGGCCGTGGAAGCGGAGGAAGAAGAAGCCATCTTCCTATTGGTTTTACATTAGCGAATGCAGAAACTTATGTAGCTGCTGGTAGAGATTTATACTGAGAGAGAGAGAGAGGGGGGGATTTCTACGTAAGTGGCATGGCCTATATGTCTTACTTAAAAAACTTATAAAAATGGTTGACTTACTGAAGGCTAAAGCCCCCCTTTTTGGACAAATGCAAACCAAATCAGCCATAATCTTTGGAGTCGGTCACATGGATAATTTAAAGATTGAAACTTGAATGCCTATTTGTGGAAAACCCTTAGATAGTGGGACCCAATACCTGATTCATTCCTTGAATTAAAGTCGTTAGATAGTGCGTGGGACCCAATGCCTGATTTCTTCCTTAGATGTTTGGTTCATGCCCTGAACATTCTGTGATGAATTCCCAATTGTCAATTACAGTGCATTCTTTTTACTTTTACCTCTCTCATTCGTAAGTCATAAGTCATAACCATGTAGTGTTTTGATCCTTTTTGTTGAAGCTTCATCAATTGGGTTTCCCTTTTCACGTATTTCTAAAAACGAGAATTATATATACTTCATTCTGCCTGTAAATTTACGGTCAGATTCATCTGACCTATACGGTGGAGCTCATATTTCTAAGATGGATTGAATAACCCCTGTATTAAAAACAAAATGGGGTACAGATGAGTCTTATGCATTCAGAAAATAGAATCTTTTGATCCCTTTTGTGTGCGGGGTCAGAGGAATTCGTGTGAGAGAGTTCGAAAACTCGCATCATGTGAGAAGAATTTGCATGAAAGAGTTCGAGAATAGTCCATGGACAAAGGCTAAGCACAGCACTAAATAACCTGATAGACTGAATAGGCTATGACGGAAATAGGCTCTAGGCTTTAGATGGGCTTTAGGTTTAACCCATCAAGTAGAATTATCGTTTTTAAAAATGAATCGGTGACAGAATCGGTCAGGGGTTTAGTTATTAGTTTGAATGGTCTGACCGCTTAATTCGAATGGTTGGTTTGTTCTGACAAAAAAAATTAAAAAATTAAAAAACTATCAAAACCGTTCAAACAGTTCAAACGGTTCGAATGATTAATTGGCCAATTCAATAATTTGCTGACCAAAATCAATGATTTTGAGGAAAAAAACGATTTTGAAGAAAAACGGAACCGGTCAGATCCAGTTTTTCCGGTCCGACCATCTGGTCCAGTCCGGTTTTAAAAACAGTGAGTAGAATATCATCCATAAGTTTTGATGTAATTTCAAAGTAGGGAAACATGTTGCTTTAAATTTGCGCGGCTAATTGATTGTTTAAGAGAGAAAGAAGAAGAATTGCTATTATTTCAAAATTTATATCGCATCAATTATAAATGTTGGCAGTAGAAAAAGAGAAATTCATAGGATGTACTGAATTTTGCCAAATTATAATTTTGCAAACTTTTTTAGATATTTTAATTAGATAAAATAAACAAATTAATTTAATATAATTTAATTAGTTATCTTAATTTATTTATATTAACTTAATTGATTGAACATGATAAATTAAATAATTTATTTACTTAGTTAATCTAATTATAAATTTACAATTACATTAATTACTTAAAATTTTAAAAATAATTTTACAATTACAATTAATAACTTTAAATTAATTAATAAATTCTTTTAAAAAATACGTTAACTGAAATTAAGTAGCTTAATGTGCTTTTAAAGGATAATGTTCCTTAGCTCAAAATAGACTACTACTACTACTACTATTATTATTAATGGATTGTCTATTTTTAGTTGATTTGTTTGTAAGATACTTCCATGGCTCCATATATCTAGAGGTGTAAATCGGGTTATATTAGGCATGTCATGATCGAACGGGTTGTGTTGACTGTGGCATGCCTGTTAGCATGACCTATAAATATTTATATATATTATATATTATATAATATATATAATTTTATTTACAGTTTTATAATATTATTTCATTTTATCATTGCATATATAAATAATTGTATACAACAAAATTCATATAACATAAAACTTTTAGATATTTTTTATTATATTTTTGTCTATTTTTTAATTTATGTTAAAATTTTCATTATTTTTTTCAAGTTTTTAAAAAAACATGACTTTTCCCAATCTGTAGCCCGGCCTGGCCCAAAACTTGGTCCACAGACCAGCTAGCCCACGACTCGAGCCGATCCCCCAAAGTAAATTGAAATTCTCTATATTATTGTTTTTGTCCGAACAGATAACATAAATTTTCATCTTTTTGTTTCATATGCACATTATAATATTTTTAATTCACAACTCATTAATATCATATTTTTCTATATAGCCCAGCTAAAGAAATTTATAACATCTCAGTCTGACGTTTAATAAAAATTTCTCAGCTAAAGAAATCTCTTGCCCACCCTCACCTAATACAAAAGGCTTTAACTGATATCCATCTCTCGTTCTCGTTGAAGCTCAAAAGTATTACACATGAAACGATTTAAATGCATTGAATCGGAAGTTCTCTTTTAATGATGAACAAGGAATGAAGGTGCACAAGTGGGAAGTGCCTCATAAGACGGCACCAATGCCAAACATCGCCTTCATTCCTTGTTTGGTATTGTTTTTTTAGGAAAACATTGTTCCATTCCATGCTTTGAAAATTAAGAAAGTGTGGTCTCGAGCAACGTTAAATTTAATGTTTTCTGAGAAAAATAGCATTGTTACTGAAACTGCTTGATCCTAGGTAATGCAAGAATCGATGTCACAATCAGAGGCCTGAGGAGTTATCCCCGGGTAGATATTCTGACGCTTAAGTCAGTAAAAAGCAGTGGGCAATCGAGCCGAGTAGTTAGAGAACGGTGTTAGTCCGAGCAGAGTAACAGTATGGGAGTCAAAAGTTGGAACCTTTACCTTGAGTGGGAGGCACATTTTTATAACTAATGATCCGTGTCTTGATCGGATGAGGCTTCCGGGGTTGTTGGGATGAGGTTACTCGTCGAGGTCTTCAGGATAAGATTTAATCCCCAGCGGAGTTCTCCCCATCCGCATGATGATCTCCTATCTTGGTTGCACTTATCCACATGATGTGGTGCCAACGTGGCTAAAGAAATAAGGTAGGGCCGCGGAGGTGACGCGGTGCTGATGTGGTCGATGAGATAAACTGAGCCGTGGAGGTGACGCAGTGCTGATGTGCCGAAGAGATAAGGCAACACGTGGCATATGGAGCCAGCTCAACCATTACCCAAACAGTTACCAATAGTGCAATGATGTGGCATCATCTTGGACGTAAGATAATATAAACCATATTAAAAACATTACTGCCAGCACTGTACCAAACAAAAACAATATTATTTTCTCAATAAACAACCTATATGGCAGCACCCGTTCCAAACAAAAAATAAACATCATTTTCAAAAAACGTTAAGATATTCCCAGTACCGATGCCAAACACCTATTTAACGGAGATGTTTCGGTTTGACTCTACTCAAACCGTAAAGCTAGAGACTAGGCCTTCTCGTATATAATTTATGTAGTAGTGAATTGCCTATGTATGTGCTCCGAAGTCTGCAGGCGGCGTGCCACTATATGTCTAGATCTAATGGTTGAATTCTTATTATTAGCAGATCACTTTAATGCTGAGATCAATTATTCAATTTGATCAGCACGCCACTTTAATGCGTGGCTTGGTCAATAATTGAGTTTTCATATCCGCACGCCTCTAAAATTCAACATGATTTTTTTATATTTTTTTAAATTTATCATGACGTTTCAAAACACCCACAGAGTCCCCAATCATTGAGTTTGTCTAAAATTCACATTCCCCTTAAAGATTTTTGTTAGATTACCCTTAGTGACCAGTAATAAAAGTTGTCCATAATCATTTAACTATTTTATATGGCCAAATTATTACTGAATAATCGATCAAGCTTATTAAATATTTTTATGACAAAATTATCTCAAATTTAGGCCCGGGTCTATATTAGACCTGTAAATTTTAGAGACGTTTGGGCCTAATACTTTAAGCCTGGTTTAGGGATGACGTATTTAACAAGGTTGATTGACCATTTAAGGGTAGTTTAGTCATGTAAATTGTAAAATACCTAAATGTTTACATTGACAACTTTTATTAATGGTCACTAATGGTCATCTAATGGAAATCTTAATAGAAGGTGAGTTTTATACAATAAAACTCAATGACAAGGGGCTCTATGGATGTTTTGAAAAGTCATGGTGAGTTTAAGAGAAATGTAAAAATGTCATTGAATTTAAGAGAAATGTAAAAGTGTCATGGTGAGTTTTAGGGGTGTTGATAGATTGGATAGCAAACCAGGATTCATGAAATCTCACCTCAAAACAAATAGCTGGGTTATTGAGTTTTGGAGCATAGTTATGCTATTGTATATCTATACTATTATATTAAAAGTGTGAATGAGAGTATAAAACTTTTGTTTGACTAAAATACTCCAATTTTTTGAATTTTGTCCTTCTAATTGTAATGACAGAAATGCAATTTGAACAAAAACAATTTTCTTCATTCAAATCCTTCTCATTAAGTCTTATATTTAAGGTATTAACTCTCATTAACATTCATTGAATCCTATTCTTGACCAAAATATTCCTATTTTTTAATTTGATCGATCTCTAATTTGTTCCATATCCTTGGTGGTCAATCAACAATTCAACCTTTGGGGTTAAATGTACCAACCCTTGATGTAATAATAATACAAAAAAAAATAAGTGTGACAAATAAATATAATTTATATAGAAATAAAAATAAAAAAGCTGTAAAAATTTTGAAAATATATTATTTACTATCATCATTAACATAAAAAATTGGCACTTGCAAAGCACATGCAAACTTACTAGTTAATTAGAAATAAGCCAAATTGTAAGAATTAGATTATATATGCATATTCTAACAGAAATAGCAACAACCTCACCATTGCACATACAAAGAGTTTTTTTTCCAAGATTTAAATAACCTTGGTCATCTAGGTTATAAATGAAACAACCCAACTATTGGACCAAGGCCCACCCTCACATATTTAGGCCTAAAAGATATGTAAAATTAAGAATTATATTTGAGATCAATTATGAAAAATCTATGTTGTTGGAAAGACATGCTAGCGGAAGGGCTTTGACCAATCATCCCCGGTCTATATGATAAATAACCATCAGCTGATTGGTTACCGATTATATGATACGGGTTGATAAATAACTCAAGAAAAGATCTTTAGTGACTATCATGTGCATACGTGTTTAAACATTCCTAATCTAAAACTCCAAATAGCCCTTATATCAGTTTATGAGACCATTTGCAGAAAATTGATAAATTACAACAAAAAAATAGAAAATAAAGAAAAAGTAGAAGATTGCACTGAAAGTTGTAAAAAAAAAAAAAACAAATTGAACACAAAGAAAAAGAAAAAAATACAGAAAGACAAAAAATACAAAAATAAATGTATAACTTTAAATGGGCATCTTCACAATTTTAACTTTACTGTCTAAGTCAAACCTAGTGCTGGAATATTTTAAAAAGTTTTGGGTCTTTATAACAAATGAAAGTTCCAAGGACCAAGTATCACTACCCCAGATTATAAGGTGGTGGCAATCTATAATTTACCCTACATTTTAACAAAAAATAGTTGAATTGAAAATGGTAGCTACAATGCTAAAATGAATAAAAGTAAAAACACTCAACTCTGCACTCTGTGCACACCTCCCTGGGTTTTTATTTTGTCAACGAACTCCATGTTGGAACTTCTATTACTTAGGAATTAGGATTCAAAGCCTATAGTGACGATGATGACCACATGGAAGATGATTATAGTGGTTAGTTTTTGTTAATTAGAAAGAAGAGATAGCCCCTTCATACCCTTCATTCAAAATTTTATTAATTAAAGTAACAAAATAAAGTGTAAAAATGGAAACGGGGCAGGGTGGGATTGGGTTTTACATGCCCTGTCCCTAATCCTGAACTCAGATACCTTGTCCCAAACCTCACCAGGGCTAGAATGGTCAGTCTTATTTTGTGGGGACTAGGAAAAATTTATTTTCTTGGGTGTCATTTACTTGGGTACTCCCAGATGGGTAAATAACTTCCCACTTGAGAGAAATTTGACAATACTTAGATGGGACAAAAATGCCCCTGTTAATAATAGATTTTAGGGCTAAAATGATCAGTCTTATTTACTTGCGAACTAAAAGATCATGGGTAAATGCACTTACCCAGGTAAGTAATTTACCGAAAATGCAAACAGGCCTCACCTTAGGAAAATGATGGCCTCGTCCACTTATGCTTTATTACAAAATGGAAACCAATTAAAACCTTTATTCTTGAATTATTTAGGCCACATTTGTTTGAGGTGGAAAATCGAACCGGGGTAAACTTTACACTCCGGTTCGATTTTACACATGTTTGGTAGAGGTGTTAACATTGCCTCGTGAATTGATGTAAAAGTCCATTCTCTCCAATATTTATATTCAAAATCAATGAAAAGTTTACATCAATAAATCTCCATCCAATGGTCTCCTCTCTATACGAAGAGTCGAAGAGAGTGTGAGAAGACCTCCTCCGTCCAATGGTCTCCTTCTGCATCCTTTGTTTTAAGAGATATCATGTTTAGTTTCTCCAAGTGCTGCATTTCCCAGAAGGGAAGAAGCTTGCCTTCAAAGAAGAGCTCATCGGTCGTTAACATTCTATCACCGGTGGAGTTGCTAGAGAGAAACTCAAAATCTACATTGCACACCGGCACCTTTTCTCGTTCCGTGTCAAACTTCTTTGGCAATTTAGAGCGTGGGCTTATGGAGATGAAATCATTGTCGTCGACGAAGTCGACGGAGAAAGAGATCTGCGGGCTCGATGTCGGCTCCATGGAGTTTCAGGTTAGAGTTTCAAAGCAGAGTTTCAAGAGGCTTTACCAGAGCAAAGTTTCACTTTTACATCAGAACAACCAAACAGCATGAGAGAAAAATTCCAAAACACCCCAGTTGAATTTTCCATTGATGACTAAACCGGGATCAAGTTTTCCATCGGTGTAAATTTGAATTTACAGTTAAAACAAATGCAGCCTTAGGTGTTTGTCAACATGTATGATTATTTTTAAGACAAATTAGTTAACAAATTTCCATATTAGTAATAAAAACAATTTATTTAACGAACAGTTAGCCCCTGGAACTCCGATTGCAGATTATACAAACCTTCACCAGTTCAGGGGAATGCAGATGCCCCACCAAACATGTACAGTCTTAGTTTTAAATCAAGCAAAAACCTTAATGCTTGAGGTTCAACACCAACCGCAGCTCAATGTTCGACAGGAGCAGCATGAACATAAGCAACATTTTTTAGCAAAGAGAATCTCAATTTAAAACCTTGTAGTATTGAGTGGGTTATTGGCGCAACAAAGTGGTGATGCCCTACATTGACCCAAGGAAAGGTTGTTCTGGAGCATCTTAATTGTTTCATGGATGCATATTACCGTTTAGCATTTATCAACTTTGAGTGCAAAGTTTGCATCCATTTTTTAGACGCAAACTTTGCTCTTATTTTAAATGCAAACATGTCTTCAAATATGTGTTTGCTGTAATTTTCAAGACATAAATGCACTCTTACCAAACACTAGCAAAACTGAACAGGAGTGCAAATATCCACTGAACTAACATTTGCACTCTTCCCAAATAAAGGCTAAGAGTTCATGTTAATTCAATATTTGCATTATTATGTGAAGTACACAGTTATCATATTTTGGGAAAAAAAAATGCCTTTGAACAAAAAAAAAATGACATACAATATACATGTATAGATAGATAACTAATATAGTTGTCAAGGCAATGCCTATGCGACAAGGCACCCTTGGAGGCTCGCCTCGTCCAGTCACCAAACAGTTTTTTGCACTGGGTTATAAAATACTTTTATGTTTTTATTTTTTTGACATTATAATTATAAAATAGACATTAATAAACTAAAATATTCATTTTATGTGTTTATATACTAATTTTTTTTATTATTTTCTTATTTTGTTAGGGTTTAATCAATGGAAACATTGCTAACTGCTATATTGAACCCATGGTTCAAAGTATCGATACATCTCTGTGTATTAGCATAGGTGTATCAATGCTTATAACGATACTCCCCCTATTTTTTTTATTTATTTGGTTTTCAATTTCATTTTTAAATATATATTCGAAAACACTTATAAACAAGTATCAGGACCCCAAAGATACAATACAATACACCCAATAGGGGCGTATCGTATCGAAATTTTAGTCCTTGATTGAACCCTAAAAATTTCAAAACCTGAACCAATAAGCAAGTGAAGAACTTAAAATTTTGTCTAACCAACACATTTTCTTCTTCCACCTTTTCTTTTTTCTTTCTTATAAAAAAAAGTACGGGTTCAGCCCCTATATTTTTTGAGTTTTCTTTCCTTTGTTCTTTTCTTTTCGTAAAATGTTGATTTTCTAGTCTTAAACATGAAATTTATACTTCTCTTATGAAAATAGTGAATAATTATTAAGGAAAGATGGTTATGGAACCTAGGGAACTATCTGAATTCAACCTAACCCAACTAGGGGTGCTAGGGGATTGGATCATGAACTGATCTGAATTCAAATCCAATTCAATTTTACTGAATTCGGGTACCGGTTGGATTTTTGAAAAGATTGGATCACAAAATAGGACCTGTTAGGAAATAAGATTGAATTCAAATAGTATCTTGTCATGCCAAATTTCCAACAAACCAAGCAAAGATGAGTTTTGGGCCAATCATTATGGACTCCAGATCTCATGCCCATGTCTACCCACAAGCACTATCCCTGTGAATTAGGAACATCTCCCCCTATATAACACTATGTAAAAGGATGAGATGTTCTCCATGTGTGAATGCGATGTTATTTGGGTAAATGTGGGCAAAATTTGTATGAGCAGGAGATCCGGATGACCTTAAAAATCCTGGTCAATGTGAAAATTCATGTAGAAACACTTTTTGTGGATGTAAGTATGCAAGGGAGTAATTAACCAACAACATCATGCAGAATACTGATAAGCTACAGCTACTTCTACATAACAAATGTAGCCAATGTGCATCAAGTTTTTTAGATCTGTTTTTTTTTTTTTGTTATCAACTTACCTAAGTAAATAGGTCAAACCGTCAAAGAAAAAAGGACTCCGGACGTCCTGCCCACGAGAATTCTGCTCACGTCTACCTACAACACACTACTCCCCGTAAATATGGAACATCTCCCTTTGCATAATACTATGCAAAGGATGATGGGATGTTCTCCATGTATAGCTGCGATAAACATGGGCAGAGTTTGTGTGAAGAGAAGATTCGGACTCGAAAGAATGTCCTCTTTTATAACGTCATATAAGGTTTGCAGCTTCTCAGTTATAGAATGTCCTCTTTTCTAGCGTCACATATCTTTAGAAATTCCATATGATTTGAATTCAAATATTCCTTTTTGGAAAATTTCCCTCTTCATCAGGCCCAGATCTTCAAGCCACGCGTGCTGTCCATAAATAAATCATGAATTACGGTTGCCCGAACTGAAGAGATGGGAAGAATTTAGGAAGAAAATCCCAGAAAGCACAGACAATAAATAAAAAGATGTGCCAAACACCACCATATTCTAATAATAACTATTCGATAAATCAAGGAATGCTGGGGTGAAGACACCCTCACCAAAACAACCATGGTCGATGGAGTACCACCAAATCAAGGGCCTTGTCTATAGAACACCCGGAGCCATTTGGACCCATGATTCAATGGGTCCCACCTAAGAGATTATCTGTATCAAAAATCAGCAGTATTATATATATGATGTTGGACTATTAGATCTGGAGTCCAATGCTATTCTTCTCACCATGGAAATAAATTAATGTAGAACCATATTATACGTATATACCAGCTGATCTCCATTCTTATTGTTGGTTATTATATATGGGAAACGTGTTTCTATCCCTACCGGCGAGTGGTCATTAATCTAAGCTTTACCAATTTTCTATATTCAATACATCTTTCGAATTTAATTCATAATTAAAACATGGTGACATACCAAGTCTTATATAAGAAGTGAAGCCGAGGGTGATGTCTGTATCTGCATCCAGAGAAGGAGGTGAAGAAATGGAGGTCTGCATGTGGAGTGTATTAGTACTCACTGTTTTAGTTCTATCCTCTTCTTATCAAGGTGCTTATGGAGCCATAGTTAATAAAGTCCTACATCATTCTATGGTTTTAGTAGATTCGCATCCATCAACTTCTCAGGCTTTTGCATATAAAAGGCTTGTTCCAACTGGTCCAAATCCGGCAGAGTCTCCAGATCACCCTAACATAGGATCAGACGTACACCACCCCAAGACTCCAATGGCGTCAGACTCCAGAGGTTTTGCATATAAAAGACTTGTTCCAACTGGCCCAAATCCGGCAGAGTCTCCGGACCCTAACATAGGATGAGACATATGCCACCACAAGACTCCATTGGCGTCAGACTCCGGTGGATCTTGATCTCAGGCTTAAATACCTGTTCTTTGAATCACTATAAACGACGTATTATGCAATAAGTGCAATAATGGTTTACTTTTAAATGCCTATTGTCTGTCTACCTTATTTCAGTAAGGAATTATAGCAAAACGTAAGAACGTAGAGCAGCAAACAATCAATCCCAGCTCTAATTGTGGTAGAATATATTTCGAGCCAAAAAAGTTGTTTTGTTTTGTTTCGCTACATGCATCACCATCTATTTGTATATATATACACGAAAGAGGAGTGAGAGTGTCTAGTCTTAAAGGCAAGAAATTCTCTCACTACAAGCTTCACACGGATTCCTTTAGCTTCTCATTTATTACACGTGTGAGAAAAGAAGATAATAAAATGAAAAATAACTAACTACATTTTTACTCTCCCAGGATCATTTTACTTGGTGCTCTCTTTGGTTCTCCTTATTTTCTAATGGCATGATAGCATATATTTGTATGCAAACCTCCTTTTCTTTTCTTTTTGCCCAAATTTGTTTTTCAAATAATGTAGAGTACAAATTTGAATATATTTTACTTGATGCTCTCTTTGATTCATTATATAATCAGAAATCAGTTATTTTAAGTCATATTTGTTTGAATCCGTGCATCTATTAACTAGCACCATTCTTTTCTTTTCAATTAAGAAAGACGAGGTTGCATAGGGTATTATTATTCATTGTGCTGTGGATTGGTGCTTTTTAAGGCTGTGTTTGGTTTGAAGGAAAAAGTAGGGAAAGGTATAGGGAAATCTTTACAAACCATGCACGAGTTTTCCCTATTTTTCCCTTCCTTTTCCTTCAAGCCAAACATAGTATAATTGTTAGCAAAATTTGATAAATTATGTGTAGTTTTTCCATGTTTATCATCCAAAATAGTTATTCCGAAGTTGTAAGCAAGCTTCAAAGTGGTAGAGGAGACCAAAAATTGTTTAACATATGGTTGGAGAGTGAAACATTGTTGGGAGTTGAGTGATGGATGGTTGTAGCTTTCTGGGTTGGTTTTGTAAGAGTGTTGTATCAGAGAATGGACAAGATTATGTATTACCAATATAATAATATTGGTTGAAGGCAGTTTCATCTCAAGAATCAACAATATGTTTTCTCCCCAGTAGACTTGCTGATCCAGTGGTTTTGATTTTTGAATAGACCCTGTATCGTCTGATGTCTATTTAGTCAACACAGATGGGAGTTTTTCTAGTGCAGGCGGTGGTTTTGCTGGTTCTTTTATTAGGCACGTATAGCTCTCCGGTTCTTTTGTTTTGGGTAAATGTGGGCCTTGTTTGCAGTGCAGAAGATCTTGGCTTGGAGAACTTTGTGATAGAATGTGATTCTATTTCAGTTGTTGAAAATCTGAGTAACAAGT